GGGATGGAGAGGGAGGGGAGGGGAATGGGAGGGAAGAGGAGGTGGGGATGTGGTGGGAGGAGAGGGAAAGGGGAGGGGAGGATGTAGGGCCAATGGGAGAGGAGGGATGGGCGGGGAGTGGAGAGGGTGGGGACGAATGGGAGGTGGGGAGGGGAGGGGATAGGAAGGGGAGGGGAAGAGGAGGTGGGGGGATGGGATGGGGAGGTTGGGAATGGGTGGCAGGGAGAGTGGGGGGCAGGTGGAGAGGGGCAAAGGGAGAGGAGCGGTTGGGAGGGGAGGCTGGGGAAGGGATGGGAGGAGGGAGGGGAGGGAGGCAAGGGAGCGGGGAAGGGGGATGAAGAGGGAGTGGAGGGAGGGGAAGATGGGAAGGGCCAGGGAAGGGCTGGGAGAGGGCTGGGCAGGTAGGGAAGGGGAGCTGGGGTAGGGGTGGGGATGAGAGGGGAGAGGGGTAACAGAAAGGGGGGAATGGTGGGAGGCAGAGGGAAGGGCGTGGGAGGGGAGAGAAGTTGAAGGGAGAGCGGAGGATAGGAGGGGAGGGTGGAGAGGGGCAGGAGGGAAGGGAGGGGAAGGGGAGTCTGATGAGGTGGGGGATGGAGGCTGGGCAGGGAGAGGGAGTTTGGGGAGGAGGGAGGGAGGGAGGGAGGGGTGGTAGGCAGGAAAGGGATGCAGGGGATGTGGGAGCTGGAGGGAAGGGAGGAGGTGAGAGAGGAGGGGAGGGAGGGAGAGGAGGGAAGTGGAGGCTGGAGGGCGTAGCAATGGGGAAGGGGTAGGAAGGAAGGGAGAGGCGGGAACAGAAGGGGGTGGAAAAGAGGGTGAGGAAGAGCAGGGGCGGGGCGGGGGGAGGGAAGGGTAAGATGGGTGGGGGAAGGGGCAGAAGGGCAGGGGCGGGAAGGGAGAGGAAGGGCCGGCAGGGAGGGGAGGAGGGAGGAGGGGCTCGGCGCCCTCACCGGGGGTCTGGAAGTTGAGCGCCACCATCTGGGAGCCGCACAGCCAGAGGCGGAAGGGATCGTAGTTGGAGGAGTCCACCCTCTGTCCCTTGGGGTACACCCGCGTCAGGCCCTTCTGGTTGTATTTCAGCAGATCGATGGGCTTCTGTCTCGTCACGCTGTCGGCCTTTGTCTCCACGAAGGAGCGGATTTCTCTGTAGTCGGGGTTTTCTGCACAAAGAGAAGAGGCGGTCACTCCCTCCGTGTGCCTGTGCTTTCTTAACGCTGGCCCTGCAACAGCCGGAGGCCGGGGCCTTCCTGGGGGGTGAGGGTGACGGGATTGTGGGGACCGGGCCTGAATCGGTACTGCTCTGGGCTCTTGCCCTTGGGGACCCCATCAAGGAGGCCGTTCAGGTCCGGATCCCTGGAACCTGTAGTCTGATACAAGCACTAGGGACTTCACAGGCATGATTACACCAGGAGCTTGAAATGGGGTGACTACCTGGGCCCTAAAAGTAATCATAGGCTCCACTCCGAAGGGAAGCAAAGGGACATCTGGCTACAGGAAGAGGGGACTAATGCGGCCACAGGCCGAGGAGTGGCAGCAGCAGGAAGGGAGGCTCTCCAGAGTGTCTAGAGGGTGCAGGCCCCCACGCCCCCTCAGTTTCAGACTCTGGTCTCCTGGACCATGGGCTAACACGTTTTCAGCCACCAAGCTCGTAACTTGTCATGGCAGCAGCAACCTGGACCAGCCTTCAAGACAGTCCCTCAGAACCTACCAGAAGGGCCCCTTCCACCAGCACCCTGGCCCTAAGGACAGCCTCGAGGGGAGACGGTACCTAGGTTGTCCTTCGTCTTGCTGGTGGGCTTGCAGTAGACGACCAGGTCGGAGAGCTCGATGGCGATGGACTGGTTCTTCTCCCAGTACCTCAGGTTGTTCTCCTGTTTGGAGCCAGAGCCTCAGTTCCAGCGCTCAAGCAGGGCCTGAGAAACCCCACGCCCTCAGGCAGTTTCCCTCCCGGCTGAGCCCTTGTGGGCCCCAGCATGCTCAGCTCTTCAACAAGGTGACTGCTCTCCCGCCCCAACCCTCTGCTCTTGACCTTCTGTCCCGGCTGTTAAGATTCTCAGCTTCTGGGCCTCCCTGGTGGCGCAAGGGGGTAAGCACAGCACTGGGAAGCTACCCACAGCCACTGCAGTGCGAGTTTGATCTCGAGGCAGCCAGGGAGGTGACCCACATGGCGCGGCAGACCTCTCCTGTCTCGCCCGCTGCTCCCCTCAGCTGTGTATTTCAGTCAGTCTGCCTCTTCTGCTCCCCACTCTGTCTCTGGTGAATCCTCTCACACACACACCCCGCCCCCCGCACCTCTGGCCTGTACCCCAGCTCTTGGATGCATAAATAAATAAATCTTTAAAAAAAATTCATCAGCTTCTTAGTTCTCTAAGCCCGTGTCCGCATGTCCTCGTGGGCTCTGCGGCCCAGCGTGCCAGTCACAAACACTGTCCCCTGCAACGTGCAGCGCCTGCCCCTCTGATTTCACCATCACAGCTCCCACTGAAGGGTTCCAAGGCCCAGACCATGTGCCACAGACTAGGGAGGCAGTTCCTCTTGGCAGACCCTTGTCAAATCCATCTCCATCCAAGTAAGGATGAGCGTCGACCTCAACCCCAACCGGACAACCCCCTGAGGCCTCACCAATTCTGACTCTATCCTCCCACTGACCCAAGGGGAGCCTTCACAATGTCATCAGCAGGTAACACACAGCATTTGGGGGTGTTTAGCTTCAGGCATCACACACTTCCCCCAAGAGGCAGAAACTGCAGCACACAGAGAGGCTGAGTAGCTTCCCCCACACCTCACAGCAGGCTGGAGATCAGAGGCTTCAGCCACATAACCGCTTTGTCTCGTCCCTTAGACACGCCACCAGCCACAGCCCAGATTCCTCTAAACCACAGCAAGGACCTCCTGCTCCGGGCCCCGCAGTCCCCAACCTCCCCACCTGCCTGTCCACTAGATGTCTCCTCCTCTGGGACCCCACCCAAACCATTCCTTCTCCAGAAAGTCTTCCCTGATAGTGCCAGTCAAGACAGGGGGAGATGTGGCCTTTCTCAAGCCTTCCAGAGCGTGCACCTGCTCTCAGCCCCCACCGCCCCTCGGCGGCCGTCCTCCATCAGCACTGCCCATCAGTGGTGCCCAGACCTGCCTCCCCGTGAGAGCAGGGCCCGCGGGCAGCAAGTGCTCAGGTGCAGCCTGCGTAACACGGGAGCCAGAATTAGGAGCCCAAGTGTGAGACCCGACCCTGCTGTTACTGTGTCACCGGGACAAGTCACAAATGCCCCCGCACCAGTGTCCTCCACTGTAAAGTGAGGCTCCAATGTAATGAGCACTCAGCCCTCCCCATACCGCCTGGATATCCTGGGCACAAACCACAGGGGTCAGGCTAGGAGGGCAGCTGTGGTGGGAAGGGCATGGAGCGAGAGGCAGTGTCCTTGTATCAGTGTGACCTTGTTCCCCTGCCACATAACTGTTCCCAGGGGGGCTATCTGGGAACAGGAAACCCAACAACACACAGCTCACTTCTAAGGTGGATAGAACTGCTTTAAAAGGTGGCATGAGGGGCCTCCCTGGTGGTGCAAGAGGTTAAGCACCACACTATGAAGCAATCCGCAGCCTCTGCAGCACGAGTTCGATCCCTGGCCTGCCAGGAAGCTACCCACATGGTGCAGCAGACCTCTCCTGTCTCCCCCACTGCTCCCCTCAGCAGTGTACTTTGGTCAATCTGCCTGTTCTGTTCCCCACTCTGTCTCTGGTGAATCCTCTCACTGCCCCCCACTGCATCTCTGGCCTGTACCCAGCTCTTGTATGCATAAATAAATAAATCTTTTTAAAAAGCAGGGGGGGCGCGTGTGAGAATGCATGGGATGCGCCCGGTCTATGATGAACGAGGAACACAGTCCCTGCTCCCCAAGCACTGACGAGTCTCGGAACGCCACATTTCCCCAGCAGTTCAAGAAGAAACAGCAGCTGCTTCTTCAAATGTGCACGACCACTCTCCAGGCCCGCAGGCCACCTCCGTGCCATGAAGTCACCACACATTTCACTGCTCAGACCCTGGACCCTAACACCTAGGTGAATCTTAGGGACTTGTCTTTCGCCATCGGCCAAAGGAGGCCAGAGACTGTAAAATGACAGAGGCCAGCTGGGCTCCCAGGGATGGCCGTGACCGGAAGGCATGGGCGAGGAGCTGCTTCTATGGACAGGACAGGGCCTGGCCCTCACCGCTCTTGATACAGAGACAGTGGATTCTGCTGACTCTGGGGCATTCAACCTTCCCATGTAATAAGAAGACTTAAATAAAATTTCTTATGAAATCTTAGCAGATGTAAAAACCAATTAAGGAGGAACGTCAACAAAAGGCAGAAAATAACAGCCCTTAATAACAGCGAGGCTTAATTTCTTTGTGCAGGAGGAGGGCGTGGGGGACGGGGAACCCGAAACGAAGTCACATTTTTTTGCCGCTAACTGAAGTAGAAAGCCAGGACACGCCAGGCAGAGGGTGGCATCTCCATACCCATCTGTACCCCGGAGCCCTAGCTCCATCTACACAAGCCAGAGTTTCAGGGCCCATGGGAACAGCCCCCCGAGGGCGCTCTCACCAGCAATCCCCCCCATTCTCAGCTGCTGGGCTACCTCCCAGATACTAGAACCCGCTCAGGAGGGCCACCTGCTGGCGAGCTTTGCCAGTACAGCTGCGAGGACTATCAGCAAGGGAACACCTCTCAAAGGAGACGGAGGAGGTAAGATCCATGCCCTGGCAACAGTGGCATCCCCCTGTGCCTCGGAGCTGTGCTGGCACTAGCAGGCACTGGTGACACTCCTCCAGAGGAAATGGCCTGCCTGGCACGTGGCTCATCCTGAGTGACAGGTGATGGTGACACAAGTCTCGGAGAAAGGACAGGATATAAGGCCTCTGAGTAGATTCTGGGAAAGAAGGCAGGCCCTGCAGGGAGGATGCGCATTCCATGGCCCTCTGCAAAGGTTTCTAAAGAAGAGGACCTCACAGTAGAGGAAAGGGTGACTCAAGGAATCAAACTCTAGACACCAGCCAAGATGTCAGGCCCCCACATGGAGGGACAACCCTCCAAGTACACTGGGGGAGAGAGAATTACCCACTGTCAGCAGAGGTCAGAGGGACCAAGAGGTCCTGGGAAAGCTTTAACATTAGTCTTTTGAGTGGATCTGCCTTAAAAGTGGGTACATGTGAAATCCTAATATTTCCTAGTTCTGTGCCCATAAGAAAACAGGCAGGAAAGCACCCCCAAACCCCTGGCAGGCCGTCATGACCCAAGCCCAGGCCAGGCGTCAGGCACTGGGCCTCACCCCACTTCATTGTGGGAGTGAGGTATGTGGCCCCACATTTTGCAGACAAGGACACCAAGGCCTGAGCAGTGTGGTGACAAGCTCAGGGTCCAGTTCTGCCTGCAGGCAAGCCACAGCCTGCCCACTTCTAGCCCTGTCTTCACCCCACCCTCCTCAAAGCACTTCCAGTCAAATACCAACATTCCAGTCACAAGAAGGCCAGTCCATTCCCCTCGAGGGGACATTCCTCCCCCAGAACACGGAGAACTGGGTCTTGTTGACTGTGCTCCCTGGGCACAGAGCAGGTTGGGGAGCTGGCTCAGAGGAAGCCACTATGGAAGGATCCTTTGAACAAGGCTTAGAAGCAAGAAAATCTGGTAGATGAAGAAGCACCATTCCCTTCTTAGGTATTACACAGGGCCAGTCAGCTCTAAACCTCAAATGTTGACCTGCACACACTAAGCCAGGTGAAGGTTCAAACCAGTTGCAGCTTCCCAGGAGGACCTCCAATATCCCCCTCACCGGGACAGACAGCTGCTCCTACCTCACTCCTCCCTGAATTCTGTCTGGCCCTTGGGTCCACTCCTCCCGCTGCCTGGACACACCTACGGCCTCAGAAAGTGCCAGATACCTGAGCATGTGGGCCCACCTGGGCCTAGGTGGGCCATGCCTACCTTGGTGTCGATCTTCCAGGTGATCTCCCGGATGCTCTGGAACCACTCGAAGAGTTCCTCCACCCGGTCCGTTGCAAACTCCACGGGAGGGTCCCCCTGCTTCTTGGGCTCCAGGATAAAGACGAAAGTCTTCTGGTTTTTCCCTTGGGGGGCTTTCACTTTGGGAGAGAATGACAGAAGTTCTGATCAGTGTGCTTCGAGGCCACAAAGGCCAAACTTCATGCTGCCAGAGCCACTTCCCTGAAGCCAGGCACATGGCCCAGCTGTAGCCTCGGGCAATGCAGATGGGCCTGCGGGAGGTGGCACCAGGAGTCAGGCACACACTCCCACCTAAGGCAGACAGTGGCACAAGCAGCTTTACCTAAGAGGTGAGTCTGCTTCCTAATCCCAGTATCTGAGAATGTACCGTCATTTGGAAGTTGAAGGCAAACTTGGCTCTCAGGATGAGGTCACCCCTGGATTCTAGGATGGACCCTAAATCCAAGAACTGGACTCCTTCTCAGAGAAAAGGGGGAAATTAGAGACACAGACACAAGAAGGATGACGATGGCAGTACACAGGTAAAGCTTGGAGTGACTGGCCACAAGCCAAAGACACCAAGGGTGACCAGCAGCCACAGAAGCCAGAGGGGGGCACCTGACAGATTCATTCTTCACAGGAAGCATTTTCTAAATAAGAGGGGACGTCACCTGCCAAATAGTACCATCAGTTAAGATCTCTGAGCTTTTACATAGCGGGCAGTATTCTAAGCAGCTGATGTGTGCAATCTTATGTCATCCTTATTGCAACCTTTTGAGGTTGCTGCTTGGTTAAGCCCTTTTTTTTTTTAAATTTAAATTTTATTTTTATATTCCCCATACAATTACAGCCCCCTTATTTTGACCCCAATCCCTCCCCTCCCCAAACCCCACCCCCCATAGAGTGTCTCTGGTTCATAGTTGTTTGTTGATTTTGATATTTTCTTTCTTATAGTTATTCTTTTTCCTGGTCCCTTATTTAAGTTTTCTAGATTCCTGCTATGAGTGAGACCATCCGGTATTTTTCTTTTTCTTTCTGGCTTATTTCGCTGAGCATGATCCCTTCCAGCTCCCTCCAAGTTGCCGCAAATTGCATGTGTTCATCTTTTTTGATTGCTGAGTAATATTCCATGGTGTATATGTACCACATCTTCTTGATCCAGTCATCTATTTTTGGGCATTTGGGCTGTTTCCAAAGCTTAGCTATTGTAAATAGTGCTGCTATAAACATAGGGGTGCAGGTGCTCTTTGGAATTGATGTTTCTGTGTCCTTTGGGTAAATACCTAGGAGTGGAATTGCTGGATCCTATGGAAGCTCTATGTTTAGTAGGTCCAGAAATCTCCACACAGCTCTCCATAGTGGTTGGACCAGTTTGCACTCCCACCAGCAGTGCAGAAGAGTTCCTTTTTCTCCACATCCTCGCCAACATTTGTTGTTGCTAGTTTTTTTAATATGTGCCATGCTCACTGGTGTAAGATGGTATCTCATGGTAGTTTTGATTTGCATTTCCCTGATGACAAGTGATGTTGAACAATTTTTCATATGCCTGTTGGCCATTTGCATTTCCTCTTCAGAGAAGTTTCTTTTTAGCTCTTCTGCCCTTTTTTTTATTTTTAAAGATTTATTTATTTATTTATACAAGCACTGGGTACAGTCAGAAGCGCAGGAGGGTGAGAGAATTCACCAGAGCCAGAGCTGGGAGCAGAACAGGCAGAAGGACCGAAGTACACTGCTGAGGGGAGCAGCGGGCGGCAGGAGAGGTCTGCGCGCCATGTGGGACCCTCCTCCGGTGGCCGGGGAGCAGCCGGGGATCAAACCGGCGCTGCAGAGGCTGCGGGCAGCTTCGCAACCCAGCGCTCAACCGCTGCGCCACCAGAGAGGCTCTCTTCTGCCCTTTTTTTGACTGGATTATATTCTTTGTTTTTGTTGAGTCTCATCAACTCTTTGTAGATTTTTGTGATCAGTCCTTTATCATTAGTGTTGTGTGCAAAAATGTTCTCCCAGACAGTGGGGTTTCTCTTTGTTTTGGTTATTGTCTCTTTTGCTGCGCAGAAGCTCTTTAATTTGATGTAGTCCCAGCTGTTTATCTTTGCCTTCACTATCACTGCTTTGGGTGATGTGTCTGTAAAGATGTCTTTGATATGCATATCGGTTAAGCCCTTTTTACAGGGAGACTTGCTGAGGAAAAGTCACACGTGAACAGCCACACAGCTAGCAATGGCAGAGTTAAGGCTCGAACCTAACCCAAGCTCTGTCTCTGCCACCTGGGAGCTGCATGCATGGCTCCCCCTTGCACCACACTCCCAGGTAGGTGGGCCAGGGGTCCAGCTGCCCAGCTGAACAGCCAGGAAGCAGAGACTGAGAGAGAAGGGACAGGCCTAGGTCTTGTAGCGGCTGAGAGGCAGCCTCAGGCTTAAAAGCAGACATCCCAGCTCCAAGTGCCACAGCTGCCCAGCTAACAGATCAGCTGCCCAGAAAAGCAGGGGAAATACAGGCAGAGGCCTGAAGTGACAATGATGATATCAGGAGTAGTAATAGGTAGGTTCATCTAGCACGTCTGACACACCAGACTCTGTGTTGGCAGACATGATCTTGCCCACACTGACTGGCCTGGCCTGAACACCCAGCTTGAGCTGGGGATCAAAGCAGCATCTCAGTCCAAGCTGCTGAGGCCGGGCCAAGGGGCTGTGGGTAGGAATTGGGACTGAGACCATGAGCACGTACCGACATTGTAGGTGTTAAGATCCAATATCCCTCTGCAAAGAGACCCTAAGGGATTGTCTTCAATAATCTGTGAAGAAACAAGACATCACTCACGTTAGTCTTAACGGGAATAATAAAAAGACAACCGGTTTCCAAAGCACACCGTTTAGCAGAGACACTGCCTGTGGAACTGTTTAAAATGCATTTTCATTACAGGATACGTCCACGGGGAGAGAGCTAAATAATGAAGCATGGAGCTGATGGGGACCTAGCAGTGCGCGGGTGCCGGCAGGCTCAGTGTTTCATTTTTGCAATCTGCAAAAATGTGCCTTGTGAATTCTAGAACAGGTTTTAAAGTGATTCTCTAGCTTAGGTTTCAAAAAACATCCCAGATCCTTTATTCTGACATCATTTTGAAATGGAGGGTCTATCACCCTATTCAAGAACCTTCCAAGGCTTCCCATGTCCTGTAGAAGCAGTGCCCACACTCTGCAGTCTGGGCCCCAGTTAGCTAACCAGCTCGACCACCCACTGCACATTTGAATCACCCCAGGGTCCTGGGATATGGGAACATCTCAGTCCCAGAGAACTGCACCTGCCTACTTCATCCCTCCCCCAGGCTAATGCTGACCTTGTAAGGACAAAGCAGTGCAGGCACAGGGATGGGATCATGTATTCTATGTCAGGCTGAATGCACTGAACACAACCATGTTCCCACCACCGCCCCTCTGCTGTACGTCCCACCTGGAAACCCTTTCTGCTGCCCTCTTTACTGTTGAACACTAACTTGACTTTCAAAATTCAAATGCCCCCTCCTCCATGTAGCCTTCCCAGATTGCCCCAACATCCTTAGAAAATTCCTTGGGCTCAAACAGTATCATAGAGTCTGTCCTTAGTGCCATGTTTTCACACTGTAAGTGGCTACTCTACTATTCTCCCAGGCAAGAGGAGGCAGGAGACAGAAACCACATTTGCAATGTCACCAGGAGGGCCTCAGCTCACCTTCCCCTTCCACACACTTGCTTACTCACACCAAGCACGTTCTAGATGTCTGGCTGGCCCAGCTAAGTGTCTCATTTGCAAGTTGCTTTACACAAAGGACAAATGCCCCGTCGGCCACTTGTCTCTGGAGGGAATTCTCTTGCATCTGCAAAACCTCCAGCCCAGAACAACTGATTATCATGATGACTTTCACCCACAACAACTCGGGGCAGTCCCGATTTCCATGGTGCACAGCTTTTTCTTCCACAGGGAAGACACAGCAGTGCGTGTGAAATGAGACAGCTTGATGGACTCCTCGAAGGACTGGGTCAGCTGGTCCCTTCTTGGAATGATCAGTGATGGAGACTCACCTGCTTTTCCAGCTCCTCCACGTCGGCCGTCGAGATGTCCTCCACGTAATTGGATGGGAAGTACTGCTGGATTCGAGTTCCATAGTCTCCTTTCCACCTGAGAATACAGGGCATCAGAATGCCATGCTGGGTACAGCCACTGGCAGGAAAGGCAGCAAAAGGCTGAGTGCTGGGGGAGAGGGTCTTCCGCCGCTATGACAGAGTCCCTTGCAGCTATCCTCTGCTTCCTAACCAGCACTTGCTGGCTGGGGGCGGGGGTCACAGTCCTCCCCTTAACATGATCCTGACGTCTGGTCAGACACTGAAGTTCAAAAGTTTCAATGATTTACATTGACATCAGAGGTCATACAAGACAAAAGCTCAACCCCAGACCAGGCCCAGGCCCACAGGAGGACAGGCCACGAATTTAGGGACAAGATGGGACAAAGACGGTTCAGGGTCTGACAGCCCAGAATGAATTCCAGCTCTACCACCAACTATGCAGGTGCCCTGTGCTCAGACTCCCCCTCTATGAAGTGGGCAGATCCAAGCATTACCCCTGGCGGGTTTTACTGGGCTACATGAGCCAAGGGCACCAAGCACACGGCAAACACCCAATAGCACGAGCTCTTGTCATTTAGCTGCAGCACCGACCCCAGCCCTCTCTGCACTTCTGCAACAGCATCTCTGCTTGTGTCTCGACTCCAACAAACCTCAGGCACCTCTGGCCTCTTCCCCAAGCCCACCGGCCAGGAATGCAGGCTCGTTCCTCCAGCGCCTCTTGTGGGCCACTTTCCGAAGCCAGGAGGTTCTTTCCAGAAGGTACCTCTGACCATGCTACACTAACAATTTCCAAAGATTTCAGAATCAAGCCCAGACTAATCTGCCAACCAGAGCCCAGTCAGGGGTAATCCCAGGGACACTCAGACCTCAACTCCTACCTCTCTACGACTTGAATTTGGCATTAATTCCAGATGGCCTGCCACTCTCCTGGTGGCCCTGCCTTGCCTTCTGGCTTTATGCCTCCTTCTAACCGCCCTGTACCCAGTTTGCTCCCAGTAACCATTTAAGTCTCAGCTCATGCATGCTTCTTCCAGGGAGCCTTCTCTGACTGCCACTGCGGCTGAGCGTTCTTCCTGTACGCTCCTTCAGCATCTGTCCCCAAAGTTGCTAGACCAGTCCACACCTTATATTTAATGCAGACTCTATTGTTCTATGTGAGAGCTTTCTCGAACTTAATCAAATCTGTTCTTAGGCTGACACAAATCAGTGAATAGATATTTATTGAGCTAAGCAAGCAGAGTGAGGACTGACTGTCCCTGATGGTCCTTGTAGAACCACAAGAAACTGTTATAAGTCCATTTCACACCCTTTTCTCCCGCCTTTTCTCCAGATTCATCTCAGGCAAAGACTGGCCATATTCATGGTGACTGTATGTACCATTTGCCCAGAAATGAGCAGTTCCCTTCACTCTCTAAGGCATCCTGGTTTGGACAAAGATGATTTGATGCCCATTCTCCCAGTTTGGGAGAATGCAAAATAAGGTGGTCTGATGCAGGCATCCCACTAGGTGGCGCTACTACCACCAGGGAGAGAGAATGAGAAAGGACAAGCTCATGCCCAGTCCTCGTATGAGGCTCTCATGCCAGCTTAAATAATCTCAAGAGCCTCAGCAATTTGGAGAATTCCATTTCAGTGGTGTGGCAAGGCATGGGGCTGTTGCACACTCACAGAGAAGTGTGTGATGGGGAGCTCCAAGCCCCAGCTCCTGCTCAACAGGTAACTGCAGTTACATGTTTTTGTTTTTTTTTAAAGATTTATTTAATTATGCATATAAGAGCTGGGATACAGGCCAGAGATGTGGAGGTTGGGGGGAGGTAAGAGGATTCACCAGAGACAGAGCGGGGAACAGAACAGGCAGACTGAAATACACTGCTGAGGGGAGCAACGGGCGAGATAGGAGAGAGGTCTACTTTGCCATGTGGGTTTCTCTCTGGCAGGCTGGGGATTGAACTCATGCTGCAGAGGCTGCAGATTGCCTCATAGTGCAGTGCTTATCCCCTTGTGCCACCAGGGAAGCCCTCTTTTTTTTTTTTCAAAGATGTATTTATTTATAAAAGAACCGTGGTACAGACCAGAGGCACGGGAGGGTGAGAGGATTCACCAGAGACAGAGCGGGGAACAGAACAGGCAGACTGACAAAATACACTGCTGAGGGGAGCAGCGGGCACGACAGGAGTGGTCTGCTTTGTCATGTGGGATTCTCGCCGGCCGGGATCAAACCCGCACTGCAGAGACTGCGGACAGCTTCACAGTGCAGCACTCAACTGCCTGCACCACCAGGGAGGCCCCATGTTTTTTATTCTTGAGTTCCAGGAAGAATTGGAAAGATGGGAGTCTTCACATTTAAAGAAGGGGGAAAAAAGCACCTGTACCAGAGTGAGGAAGTCAGAGGGCCTGACTTCCAATTTCTGAGCACTGAGTAGCCCTGTGTAGGGTAAGGTAAAAAGTATCAGGCTTTTCTGCCCTCCCGCCATTAGGAGTGATGATGGATACTTGTGGTCCTGAATGCATGCCTGATGGCGGGCACCTGGAACAGGGTGTGGGCCTAGGTAGATGGGATTTACCTGGGCTCATACTGCACTTATAAGGGCAGCGCCACGGGACGCCAGCAGAAAGAAGCAGAACGAACAGGAGAAGCAGAGAGAACCACAAGGAGCAGAGCAGTACCATGAGACCCAAGAAACAGAACAAATGGAAGAGCAGAGAACGAACAGGAGAACCACGAAGAGCCAAGAAGCAGAGAACACCAGAGAACGCCAGAGAGCCCAGACAGAGTAAAGACTTGCTGGGGGGCCGGGAGGCCTGGCCTGCCTGCTGTGTACCTGGTAAATCCCAGTAAAAGTCTGCAAAAGCCACTGAGGGCTCCAGAACTTCTCCTTTACCCTGTCTGCTTGGATCACAGAGAACCTGCTCCGTGTCCTCCTGCCATTATACCCTGGAAAAGACACTGAGCTGCTCTGTGCCTCATTTTCCTCATCTGTAAAATGCAGGTTCCAACCTTCCTAGGTCATAGTGTGAATTAAGTTATTTTATATGAAGTGTTTGAAACAGTGCTTTATACCCAGAGGTGCTCGACCCAAGTGGCAATTCAGAGTTCAGAGGCAAGTCCAACTATCTTGTGGAAGAGAAGATGCTGACCTTGTGAGGGCTGTCTCGGCCAGGGCTCGTGGTGAGGTGTAGGGTAAGGTAAAAAATCAGGCTTTTCTGCCCCCCTGCCATCAGGATAGATGAGGGAACCCTGTGATCCTGAATGCATGCCTGATGGCAGGCACCTGAAGTGGGTACACCTGGGCTAAGATTGTGCTTTTAAGGGTGGTGTCACGGGGATGCCAGTAGAAGCTGAACGAGAAGAAGCCCGAAGCAGAAGCAGAGAACACCAGAGAGCCCAGATAGAGTGAAGATTTGCTGGGGGCTGGGAGGACTGCCAGCCCCCTAGCACCCCTGCCTGCCATATGCCTGGTGAACCCCAATAAAAGACCTGCAAAAAACCACTGAGGACTCAGACTCCTTTACCGGTCTGCATGGGATCAGAAAACCTGCACTGTGTCCAGTCCTGCCTTACAATTGGCGTAAGTCGGCAGGATGATCCATGCAGACGGGTATGGAGCCCTCCGAAGACCTGGAGGGATTGGTGGACAAGGTCCGGGAGCTACAGGATAAGACCTCACCCAGAGGAATAGGAGGAGACGCCCAAGAGGACCAGCCAACGACACCTGAAAGGACCAGCCAATGACCCCTGAGGCAGCAGAATCGTCGGCGAAGAGAGGACCACGATTTGGAGCTTGCCAGTGCTGAAGCAGGGAGAGGCCAACAGACTTCGACTGCTGAACATGGACTGATGAACTTGGACTGACAATCCCGCCAGAAGGCGGAGGACTTTGCAGGTTGATATGTTTTGGGACCCTGGGGGTGGAACAGTTTTGTTTGTAAACCCCAGGAGATGGGAATCTGGGGGTGGCCAGTGGGCCTAGATGGCCAAAAGCAGCCTGTGCATGCCCAGCAGCCAGGCGGAGGAGAAAACCCAACTGAGAAGGCAAAAGCTGGTGCTGATGCTAAGTTGAGAAGCCCTGAGTGGCTGTTAAGCAGCCTGGGTATGCTGAAGACCTGTGAGTCTCGTAAAATCACCTGTGGGTGATGCCCTGCTCATTGTTGAGTGAGAGTGAGGAGCTGAGGAACCTGTCCTTGGGGGAAGGGTGGGGAACGTGGCCTGGGTTGGAGCCCACGCCGCATGTAGAGTTTGGATCCCCGACCCATGTGCTTGTGCAGTGGGTTGGCCTGAGTGCAGGGGTCTGTGAGTCGCATGGGTGGCTATGAAGGCCGAGTGTTGGAGTGACTGCAGACAGAAACCCTGAGGGTTGGCGATCACCCCCAACAGAATAGAATCGCCAATCCCAGAGCTAGTGCATCCTGGGGGCGGATGCGGTGTGTGGCTTGTAGCCGAGACTACAGCCAGAGAAGGCCGGGAAGCCCAACGGCTCCTGGTGTGTTATAGTAGATGCCGTGAGTGATTCCCCTCCCTCGTATGAGCAGTGCCTTCGGCAGCAGATTTGGTGGCTCATCTGCTGGTACCAATAATTGTCTTTTGCACTAGGTTGGGGCCCTGCCTGGACTTATTTGTGTTCTGTTGTATTTTGTTATATTGCAATGTATTTGCTTTTGTGGGCCATGGCTGCATTGTTTGTGTTTGCTAAGAAACAAAGTTGTGTATGTGTGGATTATATGGCAGAAAACCCTGAGGGGGTGGACTGTAGGGAAAGGTAAAAAATCAGGCTTTTCTGCCCTCCCGCCATCAGGATAGATGAGGGAACCCTGTGATCCTGAATGCATGCCTGATGGCGGGCACCTGGAGTGGGTACACCTGTGCTAAGACTGTGCTTTTAAGGGTGGTGTCACGGGAACGCCAGTAGAAGCCGAAAGAGAAGAAGCCCGAAGCAGAAGCAGAGAGCCCAGATAGAGTGAAGATTTTCTGGGGGCTGGGAGGATTGCCAGCCCCCCAGCACCCCTGCCTGCCATATGCCTGGTGAACCCCAATAAAAGACCTGCAAAAAACCACTGAGGACTCAGAATCCTCCTTTACCTGGTCTGCATGGGATCAGAAAACCTGCACTGTGCCCTACATGAGGCCTGAGTTTTAGTGCTCTAAGGCAGAAATCAGCCCACGAAACTACCTGCTCAGGGACCTACTTACTGAGCAGGGATTTTCTTCCCAGGGGAAAAGCTCATTAAACACAAGCATATCCAGATACCTTGAGCCTAAAAATGTACTGTCTTCTATTCAGGTTGAGGCCACTGCCTAGGACACAGGACTAAGCAACAGTATAAGAACGTGAATTTAAAATAATGCAGCGGTCTGAGGCCTGTGTGATGGGGAGACCCAGCACTATTCCGCAGGTATGTGACCTTGGAAAGCCGCACTTGTCACATCTGTGATGGAAGGATGTTCCTTCCTAACTCCACAGGGTTGTAAGGAGGATCTGGTGAGGTGGTGTATGAAAGCAATTACCGTAGTGCTAGGCACACAGTAAGCCCTCAATAAATGGCAGGTGCTGTTGTAATTAAAGTAATGTATAATGCTATGTGCTATAGGACGTGCATACAATACATGATCTATGATAATTGTTACTGCGGCACTTTACCCATTCTCCCAAATAGAGTATACATCAAACCACCTTCCCTGAGAAGCTACAACAGTTCAAAGCTAGCCCAGAACAGCTGAAAAAGGGATCCGAGAAAGAGGGTCAGGGCTCAGCCAGCACCTGAGTCTCATCACCAAGAAGAGACCAAGTCAAGTTCATCTACCATGCAGCCCAGCCCCAGCCCACACTCAGCCTTACCAGCCCCCAGGCTCCTTGGAGACGTTGTGGATGAGGGCGCCTCGGCAGAAGCTCAGCTCATCACCTCGCTTGGCTTTGTAGTCATACAGAGCTTTCACGGTTCTCTGAGGCTTTCAGGGGAGACAAGAAGGAAAAGGTCAGGCAGGGCGACAGGAGCAGAGGAAGGTGGCTGTGCTGGCAGGCCTATTAGCGATCCGGCAGCTTCAGGCCAAGGTTACAGCGCCATCTGCTGGCAATGGCCTGACACTGCAAACGAGTGGAAGGGCACTGGCCAGGTCAGGGCCAAGGACATGCAGAGTGGCCCAGGATTGCTCGTGAAGGAAAAGATATCCTTCCAGGTTACGCCAAAACCAACAGTCCTCAGCACCTGGGCTCAACAACCTTTCTGGAATTTCAAGCTCAACACCATCCCTGGCCATTCTGGGCCTCACCTGTACGTTTTTTTATTTTACTTCTTTTTTTAAGGTTTCTTAAATATTCCATTGTTTTTTTTTTTTTTTAAGATTTATTTATTTATCTATATAAGCACTGGACACAGCCAGAAGCGCAGGGGGGCGAGAGAATCCACCAGAGCCAGAGTGGCAAGCAGAGCAGGCAGAAGGACCGAAGTACACTGCTGAGGGGAGCAGCGGGCAGCAGGAGAGGTCTGCATGCCATGTGGGACCCTCCTCCAGTGGCCGGGGAGCAGCTGGGAATCGAACCGGTGCTGTAGAGGCTACAGGCAGCCTCGCAACCCAGCGCTCAACAGCTGTGCCACCGGGGAGGCCCTCACCTGTACTTTTTACCCAAGTCAGAGGTCCCTAACTAAATTATTGCAGGACACTCTGCAAGAGTAACCAAGGTGGCCCTCCATGAAATGTTTCAAAAGGTGAACCCTGCAATCACAGAAACATGTAAGCCGGAACTTAGGATAAAATTTCTCTCCAATGAATGTGCTTCATGCCTGCTGCTTGCCAAACAGACACAAATTCATGGCAAAATGAGCCCCCACATAGCAAGCTGACAGTAATGGGAAAGCTCTGAAGCTGTTCGACACATTTAAGTCAGCAGTTTCCCTCTCTCTGCCCAAGGAAACCAGAACAGGGGCTTCATAAGAAATTCGGTTAAACTGCTCCTCGGTACAGAGCTTTGGAGTCAGACATGTGGGCTCAAATCACTGCTCTGGCCCTACTCAATGTATATAACCGTGAGGATCCTTCAGCTTCCCCATATGTGAAATTGGAATTAAAACTCCACCTACTTCACAGGATTGTGAGACTATTACAGGAGGGAACACATATCAATAAAAAGGAAAAAGACAGCATTTCTTAAGTGGGTACTATAGTCCCAGCACAGTCCTGGGCTGGGTATTGCTAGTACAATGATCCTGACAGGGAGGTAAGAGACCCATTTTATAGAAGCCCATTTTATAGAATATCCTAGCCCACAGTCAGCCAGGGGGTGAGTGGCTGAGCTCTGAAGGAAGCCACCAAGGTGTATGAGCACCATAGCTCATGGTGCTCCGCCAGAAGCTGTGCCGCAGGCACCTGCAAATGAAGCCAGCTTTATTCCTGCACCTGCCTCAGTGGTTGGAGCCACGTCCTTCCCCATGAAACTCCACATACATGTCACTGCCCGGCACCGAGGCCACCAGGGAGATTCAGCCAGTGGCAGGGATGATGGGAGCACTGGGGACACCAGGAGCAAGTATCCAGCCCAACAGAGGGCAGGAGAGACTCTCAGGAGAGGGCTCTTGGGAACAGCAGAGAAACGAGCCAGCCATCGGATGCCCATGTAGGCGTGTGATACAGAGAAAGGCCCAGAGGACACACCCAAAAGCCAGACTACCTGGGTCCAAGCCCCAGCTCCCCACTTTGCTAGTTCTGTGACCTCAACAGCTACTCATTGCCTGTGAACCTCAGTGTCCTCATCTGTGCACTAGGACAGCACCTACTGGAATGTTAAGAGGATTAATGAGCTGCAGTTTCTAGAACAACACTCAATATGTGCTGCCTGTTGCCACTGATCTAATGTTCCAACCCCAAGAATATATCCAAAGGAAACAATGCAAAAGTTGCCAAAGTTTCACGTGTGAAGAAGGTCCTTCTACTGCTGCAGGAGCAAAGACTAGAAATCACCCAAAAGGCATTGATGGGGAGCAGGTAAAATGGCACTGCCACCCACAATCAATCCCCTTCTGCAGTAAAAACCTAACAGTCGTTTGCATTTTGGTTAAAATTCCAGTCCATGTTTTTCCTCTAAATTACTCAGCCTACCAGTTTTGACTGAAATGGTCATTAAGAAGCTTAGCAATGGAGAAAATCACACGTGATCAAACGTTAAGTGAGCTGAGCAGGAAAAAAAAAATGGCAGGTGCGGGTGGGGATTGGCAGGCACACCGTTCTCCACGTGGGCAAAGAACAGCAGGGACATAACATCAAACATGCAGCATCAGATGGTAAGACGCAGGCTGAATCTTTTTCTTATTTCCAATTTTTTTGTTGTTACATCGTTTTTCAATCATAACCACAGCAATAATTTAATTTTGAGGCACTCACAGTGGTGTGGCAGCTTGCAGTCAGATTCAGCCCACTGTTGTGTATTACCTGGCTCAGGGAGCCCAGGAAGATTTTCTCCACCACTTGGCATAGTTGCCAGGATTTAAAAATGGGGAGATTTCATATAAAATAGCCAGCTTATTGGCGTCTCTTGAGAAAGCAGAAGACCCAGTCTGCTCTCGGGAAAGGAGATGATCACTATCCACAGGAAGCAGGATGGGTTTTGTGTTCCTCAATTTTACCCCAGTCTCCACCATCCCCTGACACCTGGCTGATGTGAGGCCTAGTCATTCTCATTACCAAAGCATCCTTCCCTTCTAAGAATTTTCTGCTATGACACTAAGTCCCTAACTCATTTGGCACACAATTCCATGGGCCCACAACTTTTCAAGACTTTATTTCTTGCTGAAAGGGATTTGCATTGGCCAAGGATTATAAGTTAAAAAAAAAAAGTAATTTGTGTGGGATTCCAGAAACCCACGAGCAGGCCCCTTCCAATGAGGCATACTAATGATGTAGCCGACGAACCCCAAGCAGAAAATTCGGTATGGTTCTTCCTCCACGGGTTCAAACTAAATTTGAGATGAAAACAGTGCAAAGAGGAGCTGGCGGCCAAAAGCAAAATCCACCCCTAACTTCAGGAAATCACACAGCGGCCAGGATGGGGAGAGGAGATAGCGCTGGTGTTGCAAGGAGGTCAGTGAAACAGAGGGAATTTATAACCACAGGCTCTGTCACTGAGCAGAGAACATTTGAAAGGCTTTTAATTAGAAACTGTTGGGCCCACAGGTGGTTCGTCAAACCTCAGAATGTTAGCAGGGCTTGGTCACATTCGGATGGGAGTCTATTAACCTTTTCCCTGAAACCAGACATCATGCTGTCAATCATCATTCATCTCAAAAAATAAATAACCCACACACTTTCGGACAAGCTTTCCAAAATGTTCCACTGGCCTGTTAGAAGGGGGGATGGAGAAGTGGCAGGGGATGGAGATATGGGGGGAGGAAACTTACCATGGAGGGATTGATTTCACTGGGATCCACATACATTCTGCTGACGTCATAGAGGGAGCTTACATCTCTTTCCTGAAAAAGAATAAAGACAAATAAACATGAGGTCCAGGCTCGAGACAGTCCTTCCAAAGAACAAGGGTGATGCGTTGTCCTATCCCCCAGAAGACGGGAAACCTCAATTTATTCAGGCCTCTAGGTGGAGACATAAGAAGCTATTTACAAGTACCCCAAAACTTGGAAACTTTACCTCAAAATAAGAGCGGAACCTATCCTGCATGCCAGGTGCTACGCTCGTCTATAAGAACACTGACATGGGGAGCCGTTGTACACCGCTCCCCTACCCCCCGACACGTGCCATGACACTGGCCAGCACTGACAGCAGGGCAGATGGCAATGATACATTTACCTCCCTCCGCCTCGCTGCCACTCTCCTGTCCCCAAGTCACCTCACGGCTTGAGCCTTGGCTGCTCCCCTACCTGGAATTGGCCCCTTCACAGCCCCAAAACCGTGGTGTTGGTTCATACTTCACCCTCTTCAGGAGACTGTCTCTGGCCTCCCCCACCCCAATGGAATGGAGCACCCACCTGCAGGACACCATCGGAACCCACACCATCTGGGGACATCTCACCTCTGTGAGCTCCCCTCTCCAGAACCTAAATTCCCCTAAGGCAGACTCCCAGTATCTAGAATAGTTCCTGGTACACACAGCTGGTGCACAATAAGCCTCTCTTCAATAAATCAATGAATCCACCTGATAAGAACTGAGATCTTCCAGTGACTCAGACTAAAAGCCATGTCTTACGTGCCCTACACCACGCAGTCCCCTGAGAATCCCCATCCTTATTTAGTTCTATCCCCAGCCTGGCTTCCTCAATTCCTACCACACCTTCTTTGCCTCTAGGTACACTCAGACCTCAGGACCTTTGCATACGCTGTTCTTCCTTCCTTCCTCCACACAGTTGCATGGTTCACACTTCCCCTCCACCAGTGTCTGCTCGAACGTTTCCTTCTCAGTGAGTTCTTCCCAAAGTGCCCCCTTTGGAAACTGCACCCCTTCCCCATCACCCTATATTCTTAGCCACCTGTCTAGTTTGGTTTACTCCATAGCACTATCACCGTATGACACAATCTCTGTGTATTTTTCTTACTTGCTTATTGTCTGTCCTCCCCCACCCCATGCTAGAGCATAAGCAGCTTGAGGGCAGGGTCTTTGTCCACTATGTCCAATTTTGGATCCCCCATGCAGTAGTGGATACGTGGTGAGTACTCCAGAGGGGTTCCCAGAATGAACAAACGGCCAGCACGGTATTCCATCGCAGCCCCAGCCGACCACCTACCATGTTGTAGCGCTCCAGGAGCTCGGGGGTCACAGGGTAGCGCAGCTTCATCTTGCGGTAGAGCGCGTGCTTCTCGTAGTAGCTGACCAGCTCCACCAGGCTCTCAAAGTAGGCGGAGGTGCCCAGTACAAAGTGCCGGCCATCCCGGTTGATGCGGCAGTGTTTGACCTTGCCCCTGGCCCTGGCGGGGAGACGACACAGCTGATGTGCCAGATCCTGGCCGCCAGAACCCACTACACAAGCCCCACACGCTCGCACCCACCCATGGGGGACCACAGAAATCAATAGAACACAACATGCTGGGCCTTTCAGAACAGGTACAGCAGGGCCTCGGGACATCATTTCATTACAAATTAATGAGAAAAAGTCCATCGGGACTTTTTCCTGGGACTCCAGTCTCCTTCCACATCCTGACAATATGCCGAGGTCACTGGCGGGTTTCAACTGTCCCCGTCATAGTGTTGGGGGGGCACCTGTGATGAAGGGGTGTCCTGTCCAGCAGGTCCCAACTTGTATCCTGAGCCACAGGGCTGAACTCTGGCCACCCACAACCCCAAACTGGAATACTTGGGTTGGAAAATGAATGAATGCCAATGACTGCTTACTCTCAGAAGTGTTTGGGGTCTTTATTTGGAGGTCTGATATTTTTGTGACCTGATATGTAGTAGGAACTTTGGTTTTTATCAATTAGCTTGTGATCAAATGTGTTTCATTATATGTTGTTTTGTTTCATGTCACAGCTTCCAAGAACCCACTGACACTCTATATAAGAACTTCCCACGCAGAATAAGCCAAACCTCAGTAACTCGACACTAGCCCCTCTTGCCTGTCCTTCCTCCCCAGCAATGGGTTTTGACTTTGGGAATATCCTCCTAGAGCCTAGATCAAAATCAGCAAATTATGACCTAATCTACCAAGCCTGGCCCATCACCTGTTTCTATAAATAAAATTTTATTGAAACACAGCCCTGCTCATCAATGTAAACACACACACACACACACACACATATATACAGCTTCCACTCAGTGGCAGGGCTGAGCAGCTGCTACAGAAGCCATATAATGTCTTCAAGGCCCAACTTATTTGCCCCCTGGCCCTTACGGAAAAACTCTGCCAGTCCCCGATCTAGAACTCCAGGAAATGATGCCAAATCCTTAAATCTTATCTTCCATGGTCCAGCTAGTACAAGTTTGGAAATTTTTCCCCCCAAAACAAGTCTTTTTATTTTCTCACTTGTTTGAAATAAGAGGAGAAAATCTCCAACACAGAACACACTCCTCCATCTGATTAGCTTTTATCAGCAAGAAACATTTGGGAAAGTAAGTTTTGACCCTAACTTTATAGTCAAAGGGTATTTTTAAAGCTGTGTGAGGCACTGTTTCTACGGGCCAACCAACCATTTTTAATTTTATGTACTTTAGAGACATTTTATTGTTTTAAAATACACATCCTGTTAAGCCATTCAAAAAGTCTTATAAAAACAAGTGCAGCAAGACTTCTGCTTCATAGCTTATTTGCAATGATGTTATCGAATTTAATATTTTTTTTAAGAGAAACACTCGAGCAGGGAAACAAGCTGCAGAGTGAAACTATAACATGATCCCACTTGTATTTTTGAAAAATGGGACAGAATACTCACACACAAAATGGCTCCACATATTTTCCATAGGAGCATCTACATGTAAAATCTAGAAGGAGACACCAGTTAAAAACTGTGCCTTCCACCAGGATAAGGATGGAGACGAGAAGGACCTCAGGGGGCTTAGCCTTCACTGCAACATCTTAATTTTTCATAAGGAAGATATACTTATGTAACATTCATGTGATTAAAAATTCATTTTGCCTCGCTGAGGCAGGCAGGATCTGCATGTTAGGTTAAGAGTATGGGTCAGTTGTAGCTCCTTCTGAAGGTAACCTCTCTTGCACCCCAGTTTCCTCATCCATGGAGCTGGGATTCGCAGCCCCTGTCTCGAGGCTGCTGTCAGCTACCTCAGGGAAAGTCCTACACCATGCTCTGGTCCCCAAAGCTAGTTAATAAATGAGAGACTGGAAAAATGTAACTCCCAAGGCAAAGCCAAAACAAGCCTCCCTGGGAGAGACAAGCAAGAGGGAGACAGCAAAGCCCAAGTATGACCTGTGCCTTCTAGCCCCCTGGGATTTGCTTCTACTCAGCAGAGCCATAGCCTGAGATCTTAGCTTTGCCAAGAAGGTCCTCATCCCTTGGGCCTCCCTGGTGGTGCAAGGGGTTAAGACACAACCTATGAAGCTATCCACAGCCTCTGCAGCACAAGTTCCATCCCCGGCCAGGGAGCTACCCACATGGCACAGCAGTTCTCCTGCCTTACCCACTGCTCCCCTCAGCAGTGTATTTCACTCAGTCTGCCTGTTCTGCTCCCCACTCTGTCTCTGGTGAATTCTCTCACCCGCCACACCTCTGGCCTGTACCCCAGCTCTTGTAGGCATAAATAAATAAATCTTTAAAAAAAAAAAAAAAAAGAAGGTCCTCATCCCATGGAGAGACACCTCCCGCCAGCACACCCAAACAGCAAGGGAATCCACCCTGAAGTTCCGTGAACATTCCCAGAGCATAGCCTGGTACAGCAGCTGTAGTTTCCAAAAATGTGGGGGCAGCCAAGAGCATCCCTCCAGACCTGTGCTCCCCATCTTATTCCCTCCCTTCACTGCCCTGCTGCCTCTGCCACCCTTCAGGCCACATATCAGCAAATGTCCAGTTGCTAACTCTCCTGCAGAGGCACCACTTCACCCTCAGAGGGGGATGTCCACCCCACACCTGGGCTGGCAAAAGAGCAGCATGAAAGGGGGTCACTTCTGACAGTTATCTTGGCTGAGGGTCCCCAGCAGATGGACAGTGAATGGAGGCCAGCCACATCCCCCCCTCCCCCCCAGGTGCTGGAGTAACCTCCTTCCTCTTCGAGCCACAATGTGAAGGACTGAGCTCCCCTACTGGCAGAAACTTTCCTCGCTGTGACTCAGCCACCATTTACCCACCACCTACTGTTTCCCCACCATCAGCCACTGCAAGGTTAAGGGAGAGTGCCAGAAGCAAAAAGAAACTCTCATGAGTAATGAACCGATATTGCTCAACCCCAGGGCAGATCAAGTGAGAGCTGGGACCAGGCTGTCTTTATCACTCCCGGATTTCTGGAGCCCAGCTCAGGGCCTGGTGCATAGTACGGGCGCAACAGACACCTACAGATCCCTAAGAGTCAAAAACCCCAGTTCTCAGGGAGCCTCCAGTCTCCTGGGGGAAGACAGACATGTAAACAGAATGATGCCTGTATATAAATCACATAAATCCAGGCCCGGGGGCAGCCTGCCAGGGGTACCCAGCAGGGAGGATGGACCAGGGCAGGGAACAGAAAGGAACAGAGCCGAGTGGGGCACCAGAGTCTGATGCTGCTGTAACCACCAGCGCAGTGTGGATGGGGGCCAGAGTTTCCATCCCCTCCCATTTTTTCATAAGAAGCCATTTCAAATTTCAACCGAAGTTTCACATCATCATGTAGGCCAAGCAAAAGACTGCAGGCCCAGCCTGCCCCCAAGTCTCCTGCTGGAGACCTCATGGTAAAGAGCGCAGGATTGGAGATGGACCGGACTGGGGCTGAAATTCCAACACAGCCAGGGACTGGTCTGTGTGGATCTAGACAGACCACTGAATACTTCTGGGCCTGTGTTTCTCTACTCGAATAACTGGATCTACCCCACTCACTGGCTATGATGGTCTCAACAGGATGGCGCCTCAGAGGCAGCACAGTGTCTGAAATGTAGGTATTCCACCACCACAAAAAGCCAGCTCCCCCATGCCTCATGGTGAACACAGACGTATAAATAGAATGGATGTAAATCAAGCATCAATCTGCGGGCCCCACCATCCTCATCTGCATGGTTCCAGTAAAGCGACCCCGAACCCATGGCCAGCTTGAAGGCCAGGGTTTGGGGAGATGAACTGATTCTGAGCAGAGCACTCCTCCTGTTGTCATGGGTGGGGTTGGTAAATTAAAGTGGAGGCCCACCGTCCGGGCCTGGAGATGGCTAGGCTATGTGGCCCATCCACTGGCAGTGTTTGGTAGCAACTGTGGGTGGAAGAAAACCACATCTGTTTCCTCACCCTCTGGGCTTCCAGAGCTGCCTGGGTTCTAATCCCACCTCCACCTCTTCCTGGCTGCATGCTGTAGCAGGTTGCCTAACCTCTCAGTGCCTCAGTTTCCTCCTCTGCATGATCGGGAACCTGGTCACACCAATATAGACCCTATAGACCAGCACCCAGCACACTGAAAGCACGTTAGTGTCTGCTGCTTTAGCTACTGTCACTGTTGTCATCGGTGGTGACCTCTGGGGGCAGCACGCTGTGAGCCAAGCCTCCACCTTGTTCTCCGGTCCTGGACAGCCGCCCCGCATGCTCACCTGAAGGTGATGGCGTAGGAGTCAGAACTTTCCCGCCTCCGGATGAGGAAGGCCCCGTCCCGGGGGACCCTCATCAGCATGTCCTCCGCTTCCCCGCGGCTCAGCCCATCATAGTACCAGCTGCAGCAAAGAGAGGAAACAGACAAATGAGGGGCTGCTGTGGAGGAGGGAACAAGCTCCCCAGACATGTGGCCAGAAACCACCACAGGGGTGATGAGGTAGAGCTCTGCATCCACAAACACCACTGAGGTGGGCGCTTTCCAAAGACCGCGAAGGCACAGCTGGAGGGAGAGGTGGGGTGTGCCCAAGGCACAAGACAATAGACCAACTCATCTTTCCCTCCTGGCAGCCCAGCTTTGCTGGAGCAGCCTCAAGGGGGAGCAGCTGCTGTGTAGTCTCAGAGGCAGAAAAAGCACAGTAATGTCACAGGGGGTTTTGTTTGGTTTTGGTTATTTTTAAAAGACATGAAAGAGTGCATGAAAGAGCAATGCACACGAACATTAGACAAGAAAAGGAAAGAAACAAAGTTGGTACAGCTTCAGCTACTTCTTGAGAAAAGTGCATTTTAGCAGTCTGCTGCTTAAAAACTGGTTTTTTCTGTTTCCAAAACAGGCTAACCCTGCATAACTACAGTCCACGCTACAATTCTTCCCGCTTTTGCTTTCAGAACAAACAAGGAATGAGTGGCGACAAGCAGAAGCATGTCACTGGGTTGAAATGAACCTCTGAAAATCAAGGCCCAAGACCTCAGGACTCGGGGGGCAGAGGAGGGGAGGAGAGGTCAAGAGGCACACAGCACAGGGATGGGGAGCAGATGATGGGGAATTTGGCTTCCATGGGAATTTAAGAGCCACTCATGGGAATGGGTGCCAGCACCCCCACAGGCAGGTGTTTCCCAGCAGTGGACATGACCCCACAGGTGTCTGCACCCTGCCAAGCTCCGACACACGGTGGGGGGAAGGCATGGCACACGTACGGCTTAGACTCGTGGGGGTTGGGGTTGGGCACCGGATCCGTGAGCCGCAGCTCGAACTCGGCACAGCGCAGGTGCGCCTCGCGGTAGTGCTGGATGAGCGCGTAGATGCTGGTAAACATGAGGTTGTCAGTCAGGTAGTACTTCATGGTCCCGCCATCCATGGTGGAGCGGATCCGACAGTGCTGGACCCGGCCCGACCGCCTGCAGGGAGAGAGACGCCATCAGAGGGACGTTGGAGCTCCCACCTGACCCCAAGGGGTGGATACCATGTGTTGCCACTCAGGCCTCTCTCTGTTTTCAGAATGGGCCCACGGCTTCAGCACAGGTTGGCTCTTCTACCTGGAATCCAGATCATTCTACCAACTTCCTCCACCCACTGTCCGCCTGTTATCTAAATAATTTTTATCCTGGTCCTGGACTACTGGGTTCAAATCCTGACTCTGCCACTTACAAGCCAAGTGACCTTGAACAAGGGACCCAGCATCTCTGAGCCTCTGTGTTGCTACCCTGGTGGTCAAACACGGACGATAGGAATATCCCACCCAAGGCACAGTCCTGAGGCTAGAAGATCACATACACAATGTGCCTGGAGTGCCGCCAATCACATTCAAGACATCTTACTTGTAAGTTATTATAACTTATCTCCAATTCTCCATGTAAACACCACTTCTTTCAGGAAGTCTTCCCTGACCACCCCGGTCTCCAACATCACATTGGATCCCCCTCTTAAAGACTTTCCTAGCATTTTACATTTTTCTCACTGTGCTTGCCATAGCTAGAATCACGTAATTTAAACAAGTAAAAATAATTTGTGTAAGTCAGCAAAATTGATCTGCATGATGACTTTTTCATCATCTGTCTACTGCACCAGATTCTCATCTCCAACAGGACCTGTCTGTTCACTGCTATGTCACTGTGTCTAGCACGGAGCAAGCGCTTAATCAATGTCTTTGATGAATATACATGAATGAGGATGAAAAACCGAGCTCACAACAGCTCTGGAATGCCACCTTTGGAATCTCTATTTTAGAAACAAGGACACAGAGATTCCAGGAGGCAGCATGCACTGCCCAGGGTGATACCACCCACCCCAGGGTAGGAACTGGGACCAGTGAAGGAGATTACATGATCTGGAGTGCAGGGTCAAACCTAGTCTTTACTCAAAATGTTGTCGCTTTGTTATCATGGATCTTGTCTGGGGCATTACTTTTGACTTTTATTAAAATATCTCTCATTGCAGTTACCAAAATGTTAGGGGCCTCACTCACCTTACCCTCATCTCACCCCAAGAGCTCACTACAAAAAGTCTGGAGTTGCAGGCAGGCCTGCCAGGGCCCTGCCCGAGCTCCGGCCCCTCGCTCTGCCCACTGCAGGGGAGGGTGGGTGTGCCCTGCGAGGGGCATTACCAGAAGGACAGGGTGTAGTCGTTGGGGAAGGTCTCGCTCTCCCGCACCAAGAAGGTCCCATCCTTGCCCCCCGTCTCAGTACAGTATTCCTGCAACAGCTTCTCCGCGCTGGTCCTCTTCTCCACCTTCTTGTGGAACCACTTCTCCCCAAAATGCAGCTCTGTGGGGGGTGTATCCTGGGCCACAAAGAGAGGAGGGGGTTCTGAGAGCCTGGATGAGGCCCGAGGCCCCACCAGCCTGTTCCCCCTGCCCATGCTGACTCAGGAAACCAGATCAGAAGTGGGGCTGGTCTCCTCTGACCAAACCCAAGAGGTCTGGAAAGACAGCATCCACTGCCCTCTGCCTGCCCCCTCCCATCTGTGGTGACCACCTGCAGTCCTGAGACAGAGGGCCCCGGGTCCCCAGGACAGCCCTCCACTCTACTCCATAGGAAGCCTGAGAGCATAATGCCCTGGAGGCTGCACTCAAGAAACGGTATCCCAGATGGCCAGCGGCCCAAGGGGAGAGCGCAGGAAGGTCGGGGACCAGATCATAAGTGGAGCTGGACAGAGCGTCCAAATGCTTACATCCTCTCCAGGGAGCACAGGCCCCTATGAGAGAAGAAAACCCCTGAACATTCTTGGTTAAGTCCTCAGCCAGCCAATCAGAGAGGAGCTAGCCAGGCCTTCTACCCAATGAGCAGCTCCTTGGGCTGAAGCTGCTCAGGCCTGAGGCTGAAGAGGAGCAACACAAGGCGGGGTGCCCACCCACCTGGGGCAGCTCGTCCTCCGCCGTCTGTTCAATGTCGTCGCTGAAGGACAGCTTGGCGTCAGCGATGGCGCAGTAGTGCCGAGTCCATTTCTAGAAGGGGAAGCCAGCATCAGCTCTGCTCCCTAATTCTGGGGTCCAGCACCCTCCTTGGCATCACCCCAACATTCCCTCAACTGGTCTTCCCCAACCTCATTGACATTTTTGGAGGTTTCAAGACATGTGATCCTCTTTGAGCCATTTCTTTTAAACATCTATTTTTGGGTTATTTCAGCATTTTCCGGACTTTTAAAGTTGGCGTGTCTATGGGTAAACAGGACTTAATATCAAATTTCTATTGCATGTTTATTTCATCTGAGGCCTTTTAGGACCGGTGGGATGATTGAGTGTCCTCATGACTGATTTTCTTCTATTTTACCCGCTTTGTAAGACTTTCAGGATTTCTCAACTTAGTCTAGAGACTTCAACATTTAATTGTGTCTTAATTATTTAAATCTTAACTACTTTATATAATTATTTCTAGGACATAGACTAAACATGTGTGAAGATACTCAGCTGGATTTGCAAGTTAAGTTAAGGAATATGAGAGGCACTAGCAATCAGATGCCTTACTCTCTCCAAAAGATAAGATTTCCAGTGGGAATGTCCCAAATTAAAGGACTGATTAGGACCATCAAATGGACTGGAACATTCACCAGCAAAAGGCTGATTACACACAAACGGATGGAAGTGGAGTAAGGTTCATCAATGAGTAGCACTGTAACAATGTTAATTTCCGGCTTCTGATAATGATACTCTAGTTATATAAAATATAGTATTTGTGATGTTAATATCTGAGGAAGCTAAGTGAAGGGAATACTAGAATTCTCTATACGTGTGTGTGTGAATACATAGTATATTGAATATAAAATCACTTCCCAACAAAACATTAAAATGTAAAAGAAGGGCCTCCCTGGTGGCACAGCGGTTGAGCGCTGGGTTGCGAAGCTGCCCACAGCCTCTGCAGTGCCAGTTTGATCCCCAGCTGCTGGGCGAGGGTCCCACATGGCGCTCAGACCTCTCCTGCTGCACCTGCTGCTCCCCTCAGCAGTGTATTTCGTCAGTCTGCCTGTTCTGTTCCCTGCTCTGGCTCTGATGAATTCTTTCACCCTCCCGCGCTTCTGACTGAACCCAGTGCTTGTATAAATAAATAAATAAATCTTAAATAAAAGAAAAGAAAATGTAAAAGAAAAACAAAGCTTCATGATAACAATAAATTCCCTTGGCTCTCAGTGCCAATCAGAGGGGAATGTCCTTGGGGCTCTGCAGCAGCCTGGAAGCACTCAGGGCTCTGAGGCCGGGTGCCAGGAGACCCACCTGGTCGATGGAGTCCCACATGTACAACTCGCCCTGCTGCTTGTGCTCTTCCTTCTTGTCCTCCATGTTGACATCCACATCACCCCGTGGGCCCAGCTTCTTATGCTGAGGGGGAAAATGCATGAGACAATGAATGAGTTAATATTTATGCAGTTCCTGCCACGGACAGACACTGTTCTGAGCACCATCCACACATCCTCCTATAACAGGGCGGTCCCCAGGGAAAAGAGAGGGTCCAGGTTTCCTGCCCCACCCAAGGAAGGACAGAGCTGAGCAAGGAGGAGGGAAAGCAGGAAAGGAGACAGGAAAAAAAAGAAGATGGAGAGCAAGAAGGAGACCTGGAGGAGGCACATGCAGCAGAGAGATATGTAAAACTACACTTGCTTCTCAGTCTTAGACTTGCACCAGGAACTTGGGGTACATGGAAGGAGACACTTGAAACAGATGTGGGTGAGAGACCCACAGGGAGGCTGACAATGGCAGCCTTCATCTGTATTTTGATTTTGCACTTTCCTTCTAGACTTGTCTGGCCCCTTCTGCTCCTCTCCTATAGGTCCCCACCAGGAGGTGCCTTAGACTTGTGGGGGACTTTCGGGTCTCAATGGCCCTGCTTTGGGCCAAGCCTGTTTGGCTGAGCATTTGCCCACAAGGGGATGGATTACTCTGGGTTCTTGATTTGGAAACTATATTTTTTGTCTTTTCTTTGTTGCACACTAATTGTATTGAAGTGCCTTCCCATTAAAGGTCTTGCACACTAGAGTGTATTTGTCTTGATGCAGCGAAAGGCAGAACCTATTTAAAGCAGGCAGGGGCTGGGGTGCCCCTCTCCCTGCCCTGTAACACTTCCACGTTACGTTCATAGCACACTGTAAAAGACGTGAGTTTTATTATTATCCCCAGAGCCCAAGGACACCGAGACACCGAGAAGGGAAGTGGCCTGCCAGAGTCTCAGGGTCCGTGGCCTGAGCCATCAGCCCTCTTGAGTGGCCACCTACCTTGATGATGATCTTCTCCCGCAGCTGGCTGGGTGAGGGCAGCTGGTCGGCACTGGCCTCTGTGGGCTTGGTCAGCAGCAGGTCGCCAAACACCTCCCTGAACACCCGGGCCATGTGCCGCTGCTGCTCCACACAGCAGTGCTCCTCGATGGACAGGATCACAGGGAAGCTGCAGCGGCAGGGGTGGGGCAGTTCGCAAGGGGGCAGGAACCCTTTGTCCAAGCCTGGCAGAAAGCCTAGGAACCCCTTATGCTTGCCCAGTATAGGGGCCAGGGATCCCTCTCACACCTGGCCAGCAGGGGGGCCAAGAGCACCACCTGTGCCTGCCCAGCAGAGGAGGCAGAGCTACTCAGTGGGTGGGGATGTCACTGAGCAGCCACAGGGTTTCTCCCAGGGCAGCCTTCTCTGGGTTACAGAACCAAGGAGTGACTTGGGCATTGGGCCTGTGAGGGGCATCAGCCTTTATGACTTGTTGGCAGTGTCCTTGGACAAGATGGAGTCCAGGATAGGGGGGTATTTGTCCTTCCATATGTGTCTGTCTGTCTACCCAACCCTACCTGCCTTCCCCTTAAAGGGATCCACCCAGCAACCAGCCAACCAACCTGGAGGTGACAAACGCATGGTCTTTGATGGCCTGCACGACATCGTCAAACTTGATCTTGGTGGTCCGCGTCCAACCATGATAGATGATGGGCTTCCCGTCAGGCCCGTCCCAGCAGTCCACTAGGGGAGGGAAGGGGCCTCAACATCTGCCCATCAGTCTCACAATCCACAATGGAGACACTACCCGGCCAAAGGGCCCAGCATCCAACCCGCTCAGTGATGGGAGCACCCATGGGGGCAGTCACACCCCATTAGTACCCTCAGGAGTGAGCGCCCGTGTGGTTATGGGCAGATGTTGGATGCTAATGAAACATGAATTTATAATATGGCCATACATTTGTGCAAAAAAAAAATCGAATTAAAAAAAAGGTATTTATAATGTGTTTGATTTTCTGATTCCACTGGTTTAAACCTTGGCTTGCTTTATCTGCAGGTGGGAAGAGTACAGAGTAATGAGAAATGTATTTGTAAAGGCTCTGGGTAAAATCATCAAACAGAAACAGATTATGTACAAGGGGAACGTCCCCTGTATCTTCAGCCCCAGAGGCAACCAGAGCTGATGGTTTCAAGTTACGTTTTTTCACATTTCCTTTTCCCTGGAGGAGGGGGGGTTGCATAAACTAGGCAAGTCTGTAGAAATAACTGCTACTAAGTAAGGTTCGAGTCAGGATGAATGTTTGCGATGAAGTGGAAGCTAAGTCAGTGGCCTGTGCCGGAGAAGGACTCACGCTCGATGCAGCGACAGCCCATGCGCAGACAGCGGACGTAGGCTTCCGTGGAGGACTCACTCCGCAGCTGGTCACCTGTGAGGTACCTGCAGGAGACCAGGCACGGGTTGTGTGGGGTGACCCAGGAGCACTTCTCAGCCCCAACCCCCAAAGTTCTGAGCCCTTCCTGTCTAAAAAGCCCCTCCGTGAACATACAGGCCAGATGCATGCCTGGGACTCGTCAGTCACAGGACGTGAGTGACGACCACCAAGAGCAGCAACGACACCATGTGCTCTTCAAGAAGAACTTGGGCAAAGGGTGTCGGGGGTGAGGTCAGTGGCGGATGATATACTAACGAGCCCCATGGCTGCCCAAGGGGCCCAGAATCTCAACAGGGCAGAGACGGGCCATTAGTTGGGCTCCAGGTCAGGCCCAGAACAGGGGTTCAATAACTAGGGGTGGGATTTACTAGGCTACAAACTACGTCCACTAAGACCAAGATAAAATACTTGAGTTCATGTACTCTTCTTCTCGTGTTGCCCCCTTTCAAGAGTTTAAGCTACCAACGGTCTTCTGGGTTTGGTAGAATTCATCAATCTAAGACTCAAGCTAATGGATGTGGCAGGTGAGAGAACCAGGATATCAGTTTGCCCCTGAAAACAACTGTACCTTCTCAAAGCCCAGATGTGAACTTAGGGGCTACTCTCAACTCCTGCCTGGGACAACACTGGGGAAGCAGCAGCCTAGAGCCCTCTGGGTGCCCATGCCTAGGTCTTCACCCTCTCACCTTACAAGACAGACTAAGTGCTGGAGCTTGAGCATAACAGGCACTTCTCCCTTCCACGCTATATTCTTGTTTTGCAACAAGACAATTTTCCAAAGATGTAAATTTGAGCATGTGGCTCCCACTGCCACTGTCATTGCTGGGACTTGAAAATATCAATTTCCTGCCACTCACACCCGCCCCAGGCCCTACAGTCTAGTTGGCGGGTGCGTCAACACACTTGGGGTAGTACAGTTGCTAGAGCTCCTCCACTTTGAAGAAGTCCAAGGAAACTGAGAATTGACTGGGACAGATGCAGAGGCTGAGGCCAGCTCACAGGCCCCCTGTACTTTGTGTCTTCTTTGGGTACCGCCCCCTTGGCCATATTAATGGTCTATTGTCTCTTCCTGAGCTCTGGGGAGATACTATTTCAAGAGTCTGATGCTGTGGTTTAGCTTGTGGCTCTGCTCATCTCATATGAAGGACTCCAGATGCAGCACTAACCTCTACAGCATTTTTATTTAGAAATAAAAATATTTTTATCTAAGGATTCATATACAAAGGTATTTATGCTACATCCCTTATAGGGGCCAAAATAAAAGACTCAAAGGAGGCCTTATCCCTTCCAGCAAAGGGGCTGTCCCTGCCCTGTTCACTGCTGTATCCCCAGCACCCAGAAAGCAGAGGGCCTGGCAGAAGGCAGACGCTCTGCAAATATCATTTCAATGAATAACTCAATTGCCCTGCTATAGCTACTGCAAAACCTAGCTTTGGCAACTTGCCTTTTAGGGTCATAGAAAAAGAATTATCATTGCAATACAAACTGGGAATGGGAGGTACATTCCCCCATCCCTTTCAGAATCTTCTGTCTATTCCAGTCTGAGCAGGCAGCCCTGCATACCGCCCCATGCCCACACATGCTGCCAGAGCAGCACAGTGGGGTGCCCGCCAAGTTGTCCTTCACCTGCCCTTCATCTGCTACACCCATCAAAGGTGCAGGTGACACTCACGTGTTATGTGATGAGGAGATCCAGTAATGTGACAAGGGATTGTTCATGTCCTGCATGTCCACCACATCATACTTCTCATCCCAGATGCTATTCTCCCGGGAGAACAGGTACGTGAGGAACTAGGAGAGTCACAGACACAGAGACGGGATCATCACAAGACGAGGATGGACGGGGCCTGGTTTTCCAGGTCTGCACCCATCCCAGGCCCTGGCAGTGCTGACTCATGAACCCAACAGATGGTCTCCAGGCCTTGGGAGCCTGACCGTGCAGAGCAGAAAGCTCAGGTCCAACAGGCATCACCCACATGTGCTTCACTGACCTACAGAGCACCTCCTTGCTAACGTGTGTGCTATAATAGTTGAAACTCCTTGCTTCCCTTATATAAGCTTTAAGACATACTAGCAACATGAGTATTTGTGAACTCAGTGCCCCACATGAGCAACAGGACATTACTAACAGAACATCTAAAAGGCAAGTCATTTTTATCTCCCTATTTCTGGGCCCTTAAAAAAAAATCAGATTCTTGAGGGACACTGGGGCTACACCCTGCTGCCTGGGAACAACTTGACAAGGGGAAGGGGCTGTCCAGTTCCCCCTCAGTCCCATTCCCTCCTGCCTGACCCAGGACCACATGCAACTAATCAGACCCGGGACTCAAATTTTGCTGCTGTGCTTCCAATGGTTAGAGGCACCAGGAGCAAATGCCCTCTAGTGGCAAAAGCAAGGAACACGCCAAGGAGACTTGGTCACTAAAAGAGGCTGGTAATTCACTAGCTGGAAGAAAACCAGCCTTTGACTTAACAATCCTCCGGGGGCATCCGGCAGAAAAGGCAGAGAGAATCAGAAAATAAAACCTCAGAGGAAGTAGACACGAACCCGCTCACCTCATCCACAAACAAAAAGGGCTCGGCAGTCTCCCTCATGGTGTCATCGATGAACTTTGTCATCCGCTCTCGGACTTTGTTTAGATCCTGAGCCCAAAGCTCCTTGGGATGATAAAGAGAACAAGAAGTCACAAAAAATAAAATGACAAAAGTCTTTATGTCCCATGATCCACTTTCAGTCGAAGACCCAAACATTGGTCAAGCCATTCTGGATTAATACACAATCATGACCACACAGTGAAGTCTTGCCAGGGCTTAGTAAGCATTTTCTGTAAAGGACCAAGGAATAAATATTTTAGATTTTGTGGCCCTTGCATCATCTGTCACAATCACTAAAGTATGCAGTTGTCACATGAAAAGGAGACACAATACATCTACAAATGTCTGTGGCTGCATTCCAATAAAACTTTATTTACAAAAACAAGTGGTGGGCCACATTAGGCCCAAGGGGTTAGGTTGTTGTTTGCCAACCCCCCTAGTTCTTTTTATCTGCTGGCCTAAGGAGGCCTGAAGCACAGTTATGTCAGACTACTGGGGATACCTATCCACAAGGGGCTCCCCATTCATTACATGGTAATGATAATATCTGTGCACAGCGTTTCTGTGCAGGACCATATAAACAAGGCTAAGTGCTTATTAACACAGCCCCTGATTCATGGAAAGTGCTCAGACTAAGGCAGCTTATTAGGCAGACCACCCTCCTCCTTATTGTGTTTGTCCTTAAAGCTCTGCATGTGAATAGGGTCACTGCCATTTTTAAAATGAGGAAATAGAGGCTAAGAACATCACAGGATGATCCCAAGTTCACAAAGCTAGAAGGCAGCAGTCAGGTTCAAATAATTACAGTCTGAAAAACTGACACAGAAGCTGATCATGTGTCTTTATTTCACAGAATCAGCCAAGTCACGCTGTTCAGATGCTGCAAATGCCTGAAATACATGCGGCCAGCTCAATGACAGCTTGTCATTCTTAGAAATTCAGAAGCCCTTTAAGAGAGAAAAAAATGAACTAACTTAATTGTTTTCCTCTCCAAACCCTAAAACCCCAAATATTCATAGGCAAAGGGATGGAAACTGGAAACCCAGCTTCAACGTAAATGCCTTCTGGAGTTCAAATATTCTAAAACCTCTAGCATTATGAACAATGAAAGCAAATGTGCTACCAGATATGGGAGTAGCTGGATGGCATGTGTCAGCCCTGCATGTTTAAAGAGAGAGTCGTGTAAGGACAGATATAAATGAGGTAAAAAACAGGTCGCCCTGGTGCATGGGTGCAAATCAACAAGGAGTCTTGCTGAGGATTCGTGCAGATCACTTGGATAGGGGGCCCAAAGTAAAAAGCTTGGAACAGCCAGTTCATTTGAATACAGAGGTGTTAAAAATCTTTGCATGCTGGATTATGAACCTCAAACTCTAGGATGCTGGATGCAAATGCTTTGCCAGACCTCAATGTCTCCCAAAAGGCAGTGCTTACTCCTTCCTTCTCCTGCAAAGCCTGTGCATTTATTGAAAGGCACTTTGATAATAGAACCTGGAACTAGACTGGTTGTGAATAAAGCCCAAGAGTTTGAAATAGGAATATTCTGGAGGGTTAAAAAAATGTGTCCAGTTGCCTGGGGTATTGCACTAGACACCAACAACCCTGAGAGTGTTGATGAACCCTGACAGTGTCAGTCACCATCAGTCACCACCAGTCAGTCAGTGGTGGTGAGTGTCAACCGGGGTACAGGCTGTCTGCCAGGTTCTGGGCTGGAGCTTGAAGATCTGATTCTCCAGGTTAGGTAAATGGGGAAACTGAGACTTGAAGTGGCTATAAAGTTTGACCCAGTGATGAGCCCAAGACATCCCAGGCACACCCGTTCTGGGGTCTTCCTCCTAACCCATGGATGGCATCGCCTGTCCGTCCCAGGGCTGTGAGGCAGCCTATCTAACCAGCCCCTGATGGAAATTCAGATTCGTCTGTGTTTTTATTTCTATTGTAAATGCTGTAATTACTTCTTTAGCACCCTAAAAGGGCAATTATTTCCTCAAATATATACATCTTTTATTTTTTAAAGTTTTCACTTTAATTGCCAATGAACTTTCTAGAAAATCTGCAACAATCCCCACACCTAGTACTATAGGAATGATTTCACCCATGAGCTTCTATCATCTCAAACATGTGTCTGAGACATTAGCCCTGATTCCTGCCAGTACCCCCAGGGCATTGGGTACGTGTAACACTAAGGGTGTGGAAGACAAAGACCCCAGGGTTCCCACCCTGGACACCATGTCCTGTTATTCCTGATGCTGCCCAGGTGATAACTCCCACAGGTGAGGGGACAGTCCCAACACCCAGCCCCACATCCCATCTCAGAGTCAGACCAGCAAAGGGGCCAGTGTGGGAAAGCCCACGATTCTGCATTGAAATCAAATTAACCAACCCAAGGGGGTGAATTATAAGAGAGAAGGTTCCTTGTCTCCAAGAAAGTGTAACACTTGTGACACACCCACAGTGTTCATGCAGCCCTCCATGCAGCTGGGATCCCACACAGGGCTGTCTCAGTCCATTATTTTCTCTGTAGTCAATAAAATCTGAACCCAGCTGTGTACAACCGACAGTAAGAAATTAAGAGTTGATTGTGCACGATGTACATACATTGTGGGAACAGCTTTTGAAAAAGAAGTCTATTATTCTAAGAGACAGAGTGAAGTCTTGACAAGTGAAATGATACATAGAGCCTGGGGTTTACTTTAGAATATTCCAGCAAAGAAATAAAGAAGGAGGAAGGGAGGCTGAGGATACGTGCAGGTTTGGGGGTGGAGAGTGGAGGAGACGAAACTGGCAAAAGATCCTGACACGTAATCCCAGCAACAGGTGACAGGTGCATCACTCAGACCTTTGTGCGGTCTAAGATACTTGGCGACACAGCGATGAACTGAGTACCACTGTAGAACACCTGAACTACTCTAAATAAAGTCTATCTTTAAAAAAAACTGAGGAGAAAGGCAAAGGAGAGTCTGATGTTATAACCGTGCATTTTAAATACACACCGCATGCGTGCGTCACACATACTCACAGACAATTCTGAGAAGCAGGGCGCTCATCCCCACAGAAAGAGAGGAAACTGGGGTACAGAAAGGTCACCCTACCTGCCAAAGGTCACACAGCTGCTCAGGGTTCTCAGCGTGGTCTCGGTCTAACTCAGTGTCTAAGCTGCTGCACTATGGACATGTGGGGGTGGTCATTTCTTGGGGGATCTGGGCATTTCAGGATGTGGTGCAGCATCCCTGGCTTCTATCCACTAGATGCCAGTAGCACCCCAGGGCGACAACCAAGAATATCTCCAGACAAGCCCAGTGTGGGGGGCACAGCAGCATGGAGGAGGACCACTGCCCACGGCTTTGACCCTGCCATGTCAGAAACTTCCCCAATGTCAAACACCCTCTGTCAGTCAGGGAGGAGGACTTCCTGGAGAAGTGGCACCTGAGACAAGATGAGGGGGGAGTGGGAGCAGATGCCCACCTTCCTGCCCACCCAGCCCAGTGCCTCCTCACTCTTCCCCATTCTCGAGGGGCCTGGAAAGGGGTTAGTATGAAGGTATGTGGACTCATTCCAGAGTCGGAGATGCCAAAGCAGCACCACACAGGGGAGCACAGCTGTCCCGGGTGGACAGGCAGCCAGGTGAAGGTGCGTGGCAGGCAGAAGAAGGTAAGACATGCCGGCCATCCCCCCAACCCTACCCTCCTCTCACCTGCTGTTCATGTAAGAGAAACCGCTGGAAGTCGTGCAGGTGGATGGCGGAGGCATCCGGCCGGTCGGTGTTGCTGTCCTCGGGAAAGGGAGAGCGTTTAGACAGGGACACGCACCACAGAGGGGAAGGGAGGGCACTCTGCCACCTAGAGAGGACAGCTGAGATGCCCCTACCACCGCGTCAGGTGCCAGGCAAGCCAGTGGAAAGATGAAGATGAAAGAGAGGGTGTGCTTGATCCAGAAGGACTCAAAGAGCGGCCCTGACACCTTAGACTGAGAGTGGGGCCCTGTCACCTGCACTCAGGGCCCCCAGCTGGTGTGGGACACCCCGCAGGCTGAGGAGCACCCCAGGAAGTATGGCCTTGTAAAAATCTATAACCCTGGCCCACTCTGGGAAAGGAGGCCCTGAAGTATACAGGTTTCCCTACAGAAGTTTCCAGACCACCTCCCTGCACACCCAAATCCCATCACTGCTGCTCATGTTTATCCAGGCCAGAGGCTCGCGATGGCCAATCTCTCAAGAAAGGGACCCCAGAGAGCCTGCTTAGGACGGGGGGTCCTCCAAGGGCCAGCTGGCTGGGCTGGAAAGATCCATGAGGACAGCAGTGTCTGGCAGAGTCACCCCAAAAAGCAATTACACAGAAGAGGTGTCTCACCCCAAAATGAACACAGAGGAATCTTTTTTGAATTCATCCAGAATCTGAAATAGAAAACAGAAATACATACACACAATAAGAACATTAGCCAGGTCGAGCCACTTGATACAAACGAACAGACTTTTGTCATTGTTAGATTATCATTGCAATTTGCAAAGACTCTAATATAACCAAATCTTAGAAAGCAAAAATGTGCAAGTCTTCCTCATCCCTTTCATGGGCTTCTTCCTGAGACGCAATCATTTAATCATCTAATAAGTGTCCTAGAATCTGGTTTGTTTTTTTTAATATATTTTTGTTTTAAAGATTTATTTATTTATTTATTTATACAAGCACTGGGTACAGTCAGAAGTGCGGGAGGGTGAGAGAATTCACCAAAGCCAGAGCGGGGAACAGAACAGGCAGACTGACGAAATACACTGCTGAGGGGAGCAGCGGGCGGCAGAAGAGGTCTGCAGCGCCATGTGGGACCCTCACCGGCGGCCGGGGATCGAACTGGCACTGCAGAAGCTGCGGGCAGCTTCACAACCCAGCGTTCAACCACTGCGCCACCAGGGGAGGCCCTGTTTTATGGATATTCATCTAGTCAGATTTCCTCATGTTGTATCACATACAAGTTTCTCAACATTTTGTTGCTGTTTCCAGCTTTCCTTCATTTTCTGCAAGCTCCATTGCCCGGCCTCACTTCCTAAAAACCAAACTATAGTCCACGGTGTGTATGTCACTGGCTCATGCTATTCAACCCAGTTGCGTCATGAACGGCCTTGTATCCTTTCATCTTTCTCCACTCATGCCAGCATTTCCATCGGACTGATTTTGAGACAGGAAAGTGCCTGGACACAGGGCAGGTCTGAGCTCATAAACCAACAGATTTGCCAAATTCTTCTCAACAGCTCTGGAGACTGGCACCCCCCAAAAGATGCACACCTGTCCTGCATGCCCCACCCCACCCTCACCTCCCGCTTCTCATCCTTTACATGTCAAAGAGCTCATTTCTGCTCTTCAAATTCAAGAAGAATCAACCCTCCTCTTAGTGGCCTGCTATGTTCCCACGGGTGAAATGATGATGGGAGCTCCTCCCAGCTTCCACTCACACCAACTGAGCTTTTTGCACACACAGACACACACTCATCCACACTATGTTCACTTCCGGTTAGGTAGCAGTACTTTAACCATCTCCAGTGAGACCTGGAAAAGCATTTGAAGAATTCGGGGCGCAAGGGACATGCAGCCACTGCACGTCATAATAACAACTCCTGCTCTCAACTCTCCAGGCCTCTCGCCAAACGTCTTGCATGATGTGGAAAATCAACATTCTAGCAAGGGAACCCACAGTCCCCAGAAGCAGTGGGAGATCTGTGAGAGGCTGTGCTCAGATGCATGACTATTTTTCCTAGAAAGATGATCCAGGGCTTTAATCAGCAACTCCAAGAAGTGGATCACCCAAAAAGGTTAAGAGCCACTCTTAGAAAAATTCAGAAGCACTTCCTTCCATTCGTGTGTAGCGTACAACACAGCTATTTATTTCTTAAAAAGGGAATTTTCGGCAGTGAATGCTGTTACTCAGACTCATCTGGCACTGATGTCACCACTCAGTCTGGTGCAGATGGTCCAGGAGGCCAGATCCCTCCCAAGCCCAAAGATGGGGCTCCTTACAACTGAAGAAAGCCATATCTGCAGCCCGCCCACAATGCTGCACCCCAAGGGGTCCTTGAAATGAGCCCGTCCCATCCTTCCCTTTCACTGACACACAGGAAAAAAGCACCAACTTGAGCCAAGCAGGGAGCTGTGAGGAGAAGGGGCTGCAGTTGTAGAGAAGCGCCCAAATCAGGGCCACAAAAGGAAGACCCAGATTCCCCTCCCCTCCACCACACCCCCTCCAGGTCATCCCACCCCCAGAATCCACTGGAAGGCCCTTGATAGAGGGCCTTGGGATCGTCCTTGAGGGAATCGCTCTCCCTCCCCTGGGGTACAAAACAGGGCAGGGAATGGACAGCCTGGTCCCCTCCACTTGATCAACACAAGTGGATTCAAACCTGGTTGCTCAGTTCTCACCGAGCACACTGCTGGATAATATACTAGGATCGTGGCAGAATTCAATGGTGTGGGGAGGCCCGTGGGGAACAGAGGTGAGAAGTGAAGATGACTCCAGATTAAGCATCTTGGCAGTGGGTCTGGGAGGGCAGCCCCGGGGAATCTTTTGGAGGGAGATGCCAGCTAGACAGGCCACAGAGTCTCGCAGCTAGATGAGAGGCTGGCATTCAGGGGAGGGGGCTGGCATTTAGAGGAGGGGGCTGATATTCAGGGCTGGGGACTGGTGATACCTTTCCAGTCGGGATGGTATCTGATGCCCAAGGACAGGATGTGATCTCACTGCCAGAAATAGATAAAGATGAGGGTTCTGGGGATGGAGGTAAGGATGGTCCAGGAAGCCAGCGAAGAGAAGGGGAGAGGGTGAGGTGCTTTTCCCAAAAGCGCAGGGAGGCCATTTGGGGGATATGCACTCCTGGGAGCCAGCCGTAGTACAGGGAGAGCCATGTCTCATGCTCTCTGGCCAGAGGCCAAGCTAGTATGTAAGAGTAGCATAAATGACCCCCGCTGGGTCCTCCAAGACTCTCCAGAATAGGGGCCTGTAGGGGGAGGGCACTCAGAGGCCCTAGGGAGATGATTTTAACCACTGGGATTGGCACATGCCCAGTAAGGTAGGCATTGGCCCTGCCTGGGACACACCAGTCTTTGGACCCCAGAAAATGAAGGATGACCTAGCTCTGCTCAGCAGATCATCGGGCCCATTTGTTTCTGGGAGGCCAATGGGGAAAAGTGCAGACATGGAAAAGCAAACAGATTCATTGCTAACTTGGGCCCATCCATCAGAATAATCTGCAGTAATCACCACATCATCACAGGACCTTACCACTCACTTTGCACACGCAGTTGTACCATCTAAAACCTGGAAGACTAAACACTAAACTTCTCACTGACGGTACCATCGCTGATATGATCACAGGTAGGTCCCTAAGCACTTCGGTTTTCTTCCCATTTATATGCTTTTGCATTTATATACTGTTCCATCACACTTCCAAATAATGTTAAACTTGTACACAAAATTTAATATAACAAACCAGCTTTATGCAGCTTATAATAAAATATATTCAAACCTGAAAAATGAGTATCTTGTAAGTGCTGCAGATCCTCTGCTCCACTGTGGTGAGAGAGGCCAGGACACTGGGAAACTCACTGGTTCTGGCCAAGCTGGTCTTTTTGTACAGCACAGAGCAGGAGTCAGGGGCCGTCCCTTACCCTGGGGCTGACCCTGCCTTGTGGCTGACAACCATGATTAAGGTCATGTTCTCAGGGCCACCCACCTCTGTTGGGTAGCTGGCATCTATGAGCTCTTTCCATCTTTGCAACAAGCATTTAGGGTGGGTGCTGTGAGCCCCATATAACAGAGAAGATGGGGGTCAGGACATATAATATTGCACTTAGCTAAAATGAATGCAAAAGGGAAGAGGATTGTCTCCTTAAAGTGCGTGTGTGTGTGTGTGAGTGTGTGTGTGTGTGTGTGTGTGAGAAAGTATGTGTGTATGTAAGGTTATTTCCTATGTCAGCAGGCATCATGCTGACTCCGAGAGGATAGCATGGGTTGGAGGGGTTGTGTTTGCTTTCTGGCACTTTGCACAATTGGGAAGGGATTTGAATTCATTCTTTGAATTGCACTGGACATCATTCATGATTTGGGTTCACAGGGACCCACGGTGCACAGACTTGTAAGACAGCCCCAACACCTCCACTCCTAGCGATGGTGTGCTCCTTGACACCGTCCCTGGAAATTGCAAGAGTGATGTGACACACATAATTATGTGCATGTGATGACATGATGATGTCATATATGATTGTAGACCTGTCTTGCTGGCTTTGAGGATACAAACAGCCATGTAGGGGAGCCCCACGCACGTATGGATGGCCTGCAAGCAGCCACCAGTTAGACAAAGCTAAAGCCCTCAAACCTACAAGTGCAAGAGGCTGAAAGTTGCCACAACCCCATGAGCTGGGAGGCAGCATCCCCTCAGTGAGTATCCACTGAGACCACGCCCCCAGATGAAATCCTAAGTGTAGCCTTGCAAGACCCCAAAGCTAAGCCCCCGCTAAGCCATGCCTGAATGCCTGGTCCAGAAATTAAGGGAACAGTTGTCTGGGGCAATATTGCTATGCAGCAATACATGGCAGATGTAGAACCCAAAGCACTGTCACAGTAAACTTCCAGGGGTAGCAAGAGCAGAGCACCCGAAATCAGAGGGTAAATCAATGGTGACCCAACCCCCTCATCCTGCAGGAGAGAAATGCAAGTCTAGAGCAAGAGCTGGACTGGAAGCAGCCAGTCATCCTCACTCACACTTAGCCTGTAAATGCCTCACCCCCCAGCTTCCACCAACCACAGGGGAGTCACTGGGTAGGCAGGGAGGCAGCTAAATGTATATTAGAAGCTGAGGATTCAATTAAACTAAGGACAAAAGACTACAGTGTCTGAGGTTGGCTGCAACTCAGAAGAGGGTGAAGGCAGAGATGGACTAAGGTCGCCATGACTTGGTTGCCCTGAGGCTGGTAGGTGATAATGGGGCTTATGAATACTATTAGCCCTACTGTAGACATGGCTGAAATTTCCCTTGAAAGAAAGGTTTAGGGCCTCCCTGGTGGCACAGGGGTTAAGACACAACCTATGAAGCAATCTGCAGCCACTGCAGCACAAGTTTGATCCCCGGGCAGGGAGCTACCCACATGGCGCAGCAGACCTCTCCTGTCTCGCCCGCTGCTCCCCTCAGCAGTGCATTTCAGTCAATCTGCCTGTTCTGCTCCCCACTCTGTCTCTGGTGAATCTTCTCACCCCCCATATCTCTGGCCTGTACCCCCATTCTTGTATGCATAAATGCATAAATAAATAAATCTTTTTTTTAAAAAAAAAAGAAAGGTTTAAAATGCTAAGAAGTATCAATGGCTGGGTACTGAAGGTGAGCAAAGGAGAATTCAATTCCAGCTCTGCAGCTTACCAACTGCATGACTTTCAGTGAGGAACCCCTCTAGGCCTCAGTTTCCACATCCATAAAATGGGGATGGTACTAGAACCTTGCTCACAGCACTGAGGGGAGAATCAAAAGTCTGGGAATGCAGCACTGCACCCAGTATGATCTACACTCATAATGCTGCCCTGAGAGCGAGGTAGGCACATCCCATCCTGTCAAGACACCCTGCAATTTCTCTTGCTGGCTTTGCCAGCAACTGCTGGCAACTGCTGCCCAACTTCTGAAACATGACGGCTCAAGAGCAGCAGCAGAAGAAGGTGGTCACGCACAAGAAGGAAGTGGCCACTTCACACCAACAGCTACTGATGGCAGGGACTGTACCCTGGATTTAGGCCTGGGGGGTACCAACTGCCACCAGCACCCCTGCCTTGGAAAGGGGCCTGCAGAATCCAACTGAGCCCCAAAGGGCACAGAGCAAGCTGTCTCTGCTCCAGCTGTCAGGGAGGAGTTCAGGAAGTAAATTATATGCTTGCAGAGGAGGGGCATTTACCACTGAGGTTTCTCTAACTGACCAGTACTTATCTATGAGCTTGGGACTGGGCTACCCAAATTCCATGTCGATGAATTAAAATACACAGCGGCCACGCTGCATAGTCATGCACTGCAGGGACGAACAGCAGGGGCTGCAGACCAAACAGTCTTTGTGGCCAGAGAGGCGACTTAAATTAGTAGAGGGAGCTGGGTGGGGTTGGGGCTGGGCAAACCAGAGGGCTTCTGCTTCCTTTCTACTCAGAAGGCTGTCGCCATGAGCAACTCAGGACCTGTATGTGGCCAGATCTTTATTTTTCTCCCTAGAGAAGATAAAAATCTGAACCTTCATATGAAATCTCCTAAATTTCAAATGTAAGCAATTCATTTTTTTAAATATTTCAACCATCCTGGCCACCAGCAGCAACTAAATTTTTCCCTGAGAGGATCCTGAGAGGATCCCAGAGGGTTCAGGGATTCTGCAGAAATCTGACTCAATTTGCTTTTTTGCCCTCTCATGTATACACACATATGCACTCACCTTCAAAAGAATTATTTTTTTTAAAGTACACATTGAGGGCCTCCCTGGTGGCGCAAGGGGTTAAGACGCAACCTATGAAGCAATCCGCAGCCTCTGCAGCACTAGTTCAACCCCCAGCCAGGAGCTACCCACATGGTGCAGCAGACCTCTTGTGTCTCGCCCACTGTTCCCCTCAGCAGTGCATTTCAGTCGATCTGCCTGTTTTATACCCCACTCTGCCTCTGGTGAATTCTCTCCCCCCTCTACACCTCTGGCCTGTACCCCAGTTCTTGTATGCATAAATAAATAAATAAATATTTTGAAAAATGAAAATAAATAAAAAATAAAGTACACGTTGAAATAGAGCTGACATGAAATTTTATCAATAACAGACCATCTCTGGTTAACCTGCACTGCCAGGTGAAACAGCTTTTGCACAAACTAGTCTCAAACTTTGCTTGTCCTCTGTCTGAAGAGATTGCACCCTGAAACGTAAGGCAAATGATTATAAAAGCTATCATCTGCAGCAACTTATCTTAGGTGAATCAAGTGTTCTTACTCCGGGTCAACAGCGTAAGACAGAAACTGTCTGGATTTCCTGGGTACACTGTTATGAAAACACTGTCATTGTTTTCAAGGGAAGACAATAATGCAGGGCACATGTGTTAACCAAAAAGGCACTTTTGCTCTTTTTCTATGCAGCAGAGCGTTTTGTTTAAACTTCACAGAAAAGAGGGTCGGGGTGCATAGTCTTAACACCTATGTGAAGGGATGGATGTTAACTAGACGGAGGGTGGTGATTATTATATAATATTTACAGAGAGTATGTTGTGCTGTACACCTGCGTCTAATGTCATATGTCAATTATAGCTCCGTTTTTAAAGTCCGTTATAAAACATTTTGTAACTGATGACCTGATTTACATATCTATATTTTATGGAGGAGGCAAAGTGAGGAAGAAAAACATGACTTTCCCCCAAAATCACTAGATCAGTTAGAGGTCAAGTTGGGGCAGAATCCAGTTCTTTCAATTCCCCAAGCCCACAATCTTTCTACTCTTGGCCAACTAAGAACTAATTTTTACAGGGTAAAAAGGTGAACACAGTACCACTGAGTTTTTTATTCTGTAAAATAATGTATTTCCCACAATCTAGGCAGACAGGAAATGCTTCTCCCATTTCTCAACCTCAGATACATCCCAACCCCATGGCCAGGGATCACCTATCGACCCCCTGTCCGGGCGGATACCTGCAGCCCCATGTGCACAAAGCAGTTAATAACTGTCCTCCAGCTACTTTCACGCTCATCCCTTTAAAAATGCCAGCATCGGAGATCCCCAGGCCCTCCTTCAATCCTGTCAAGAGCCCAGCAGGGGAAGAACCATCAGGGGAGAAGAGTAAAAACTGTGTGTGGTCAGCGGCTGGCCCAGGGTGGCCTGCAAGCTATAGAAACCAGATGCATGTGGCTGCAGGTCGCTAGCCCTTCCCACCAGCTCACAGCAATGCTCCGGTCGCCCTCTGCACCTGCAACACTCTTCTCCCAACAGAACAACAGCAGCTCCTGTTTGCACAGTGCATGCTGCCTGCCAGCCACCCTGCCCGTGCCCTGCACCCAAACCCCACTTCTTAAGCTGTATGCTTCACGAGGACTTTTTCAAGCACAAAATTAATGTGCTACTTGGAACAACAGAGTAAACGGAGAGCTGCAGAGAAAAGTGAGCCACCTCTCCTGCACACTGTCCCCACCCACTCCAGCACACACACAGCATCAGCACTCAATACAGTGTGGGCTCTTCCACACTTTCTCCTTGCTCATAAAAACATAGAGGAGGGCCTCCCTGGTGGCGCAAGGGGTTAAGATGCAACCTATGAAGCTGTCCGCAGCCACTGCAGCTTGAGTTCAATCCCTGGCCAGGGAGCAACCTACATAGCACAGCAGGCCTCTCCTGACTTGCCTGCTGCTTCCCTCAGCAGTGTATTTCACTCAATCTGCCTGTTCTGTTCCCCGCTCTGTCTCTGGTGAATCCTCTAACCCCCCTCCCCCACCTCTGGCCTGTACCCCACTTGTTGTATGCATAAATAAATAAATATTTTTTAAAAAAAGAGGAAAAGGGGTCATTATATTCTGTTTTTGTTGTTGTTGTTGTTTTAACACACAATCAGACCTAGCTCTTCGTGTACACCTGCGCTGGCTTTCTCTTCAAAACAGCATGCCTGTGGTCTAGGTCACAGAGATACAGCTGAAGCAGGCTAGTCAGTGGCATCATGCCACATCACACCACGCTGTGGACAGACACAGCTCACCAGCTTCTCCTCTGCCCAGAGACACTGGGAAGTCTCCGGGTTCGGCGCTGGCATTGGTATTGGCAATGCTGTACTGGCCCATCTGCCCGTATACTCATAGCCCCCAGGGCCTTCATTCTCTACACGGGGTCCCCAAAACACCACCATCAGATCAAAATAAATGCACATATTCATTTAATTTGATAGAGCCTATTATCTTTGTCAGAAATCACATTCTCACAAAACATATCAATAACCGTACAGAAAGAAGGCACATACATAATCCTTGAACCCCGCGATGGTTGCTATTAATAACAAAGTAAATTTCCTTCTGCAACAGACTGAAACAAGGGAAAGCAAAGCATCACTGACCATTTGCTTAAGCATACTCTTACCGATTTCTGCTGTTCAAACATAAGTTTTTTATAGAAGAGATGGAACTGTTCAAAGCTGAGCTCATCTTTGTGGGCACCAATTTCCTGTAAATACAAAAAAAAAGTGACCACATGAGTTCCAATGTCCACCACCAGCTGCCTCCTCCCTGCTATACACACAGAACAGTGCGTCTACAACATGACCTAAAATCAAGCAGACATCCTCTGAACCCAAACCGTGCCCAAACCTACTCCCCAAAGACCCCACAGGTAAGTAAGACCCTTCCCTCGAGCCCCAGAAGGGAAGCATTTTAGACTCAGTCCCAAGAGCCAAAAAGCAGAACTCCAACATATTACAAGGTCTATGCACCTGGTGGTTTTGTTGGTTTTTTTTTTTTTTAAGATTTATTTTATTTATACAAGAGCCGGGGTACAGGCTAGATGCGTGGGAGGGTAAGAGGATTCACCAGAGATAGAGAGGGGAACAGAACAGGCAGACTGACCAAATACACTGCTGAGGGGAGCAGCAGGCAAGACAGGAGAGGTCTGCTCGCCAGCACATGGTGGTTTTTTAAAAATGTAGGAAACTAGCCAAGTCTTTGGGTTAGACAGAGCTCAACTGCAGTCAAGGCCAGTCCCCTCAAAGGCTGGATGGCTCTGGGTGATGCACCTGCCCTTTCAGACCTCCATGATTTCTTTTTTTTTTTTTTTGACATCATTTTATTTTTTTTATTTTTATTTTTATTTTTTTAAAGATTTATTTATTTATTTATTTATACAAGCACTGGGTACAGTCAGAAGCGTGGGAGGGTGAGAGAATTCACCAGAGCCAGAGCGGGGAGCAGAGCAGGCAGAAGGACCGAAGTACACTGCTGAGGGGAGCAGCGGGCGGCAGGAGAGGTCTGCGCGCCATGCGGGACCCTCCTCCGGTGGCCGGGGAGCAGCCGGGGATCGAACCGGCGCCACAGAGGCCGTGGGCAGCTTCGCAACCCAGCACTCAACCGCTGCACCACCGGAGAGGCCCAGACCTCCATGATTTCACCTGTAAGAGGGGAGACCCACCATTATCCTCCCAGGACTTCCTGACCCCCAACCATGAAATGCCTACTGCATAAACAACACATTTCCGACTGTGTGCTTCAATGGTAAGCACTTCTTCATCTCTCTTAAATCCCTCCTTTTTCTGCCTTGTTTTGGGATTAGCTGGAGTGCTGGGGGCAGAACAAGAGTAGGCTTCCCACTCATGAGAGGGGTTAACTCTGCTGGGACCTTGTTAGTACAATGAATGAGCTTTTCCAGCAGAGGGGTCTGTGAATGGTGGTGAGAGCCCCCACTGGGGTTGCTGGGCTGGAAGGATGCTCAGTACTGGACAGAAGTGGGCATCTCTCTGGGAACCAGAAACAGTGCCTGTGCATCCCCTCTGTCCTTGCACACCCAGGACAAGTCCCACTCACCTGCCCTGGCCCATTGCTCATGGAGCGGGACTCCACCTGCGCTGGACCCACTAACAGCTTCATTACACAAGAACAGCAACAATTAAATGATGGGGGGGAGTGGGGCTGGTGGATGGAAGACTGGATGGGGTGGGGGAGGGGTCATACGGGTGGAGGGAAGGAAAGTCAAGTCTGACGATGCCACCGGGACTTGCAAACAAAAGGCCACGTCCCTGACAACCGATGTAAGGAACTGCTGATAATATCTCCCGAAAGAAACACATCTGCTCCAGAACCAGAAGGAAGGAAGCCAGCAGGACGGTGAGGGAAGGCCGGCCAGGCAGGAACCTTAGGTGATGTGCTTGGCTAGGCTTGAGAACCTGGTCCTAAGCTCATCGCCTGACCCTGTCTGGACTAAGAGGCGCTCTGGAGGCAAATGACTTTCCTGGGTACCAGGCAGCAGGGATCCAAGGCACGTGGCAGCTTCACGTGGGAGATGCCATCAAAAACCGACACCCCTCTCCCCTTAAGGTCACCAAATCACCAGGCTGAGCTGAGAAACTTACCATAAACTTGTCTTTGAGGAACTTGGCACTGCTCACTTTGAAGTTGACCAGGGGCAAGATGGTCTTCAACTCTCGCAGGCTGATACTGCAAAAGAGGAGAACCCCAGTCCCATCAGCCCCCAGGCCTTTCATCAGAGGAAGGGAAGCCACTCCCATCAGCCATCACCTCGGCACCTCACTCTGAGATGACCAGGCCAATTGGGCCTAGTGGGCACCAATGGGAACAGGTGGAGGCGACACCCCATGCACAAGGCTGGTCTCCGCCTTCCGGGACAGCCATGCATACCCATCCCCAAGAGACTCACAGATGGGCAGAACATGGCACCAGATGACCAGGTAATCTTGGCACTTATGAAATGTTACATGGGTTCAGGGCCTCCCCGGTGGCGCAGCGGTTGTGCGCTGGGTTGTGAGGCTGCCCGCAGCCTCTGCAGCACCGGTTCGATCCCCGGCCACCGAGCAAGGGTCCCACATGGCGCGCAGACCTCTCCTGCCGCCCGCTGCTCCCCTCAGCAGTGTATCATCAGTCTGCCTGTTCTGTTCCCCGCTCTGGCTCTGGTGAAATCTCTCACCCTCCTGCGCTTCTGACTGTACCCAGTGCTTATATAAATAAATAAATAAATCTTTAAAAAAAAAAAAAAAGAAATGTTACATGGGTTCAAAGCCACAGGGCTTCAAGAACAGGCGATGTCACTGACTGCCGAAGGTAGGGGATGGGGAGGAGCCAACCTTATTTAAGCACCGACTGTGCCTCACGCTGCCCTGAGTGTTGTCCACGCAATCACGGGACCTAGTCCCTCCCTGATGGGACCCCCAGGGCTCAGGCCAGGCATGGAGGTGAGGGGCGCGCGAGGTCATACTGGACAGAGGCAGAGCCTGAACGTGAATCAAATCCAAAACTGCGGTCATCTGACCTGCACGGAGCTCTTCATGAGTGGGTTTCCCTTGGGTCAGGCAGCAAGAAGAGAGAGGGAGCAAGCAATCCAGGCACCGAGGATAAGCAGCCATAAGAACAGCAACAGCAATGAAACCTCAAGAGCACGTTCAATGCCAGCACAGTTCCAGGGGACTCACACACACTCACGACCTGATAGGGGGCCCGCTATCCATTCTCCAGGTGAAGAAACTGAGGCTCAAAGCTTCATGGAGGTGTCACCCTCAGAGCGTCTGCCTCAGATCTGCCTGTAACCACCACAGATTTGACTGTGCCCCAGGATATGGCATAAACGGCACAGAGAGGAGGGACTCTGGGTCAAGGGCATGAGACCCACTCCTAGGGCTGGGGAACCAAGGTGGTGGTGGAGAGGGGAGGAAGCAGCACGTTACATTCACAGCTGCCCAAGACAGCAAGAGGGACTTGGCCAGCTGCTTTCCCTAATGCTACCTTGTTACTTCTGGTCTAACAACCTCTCTAGCATGGGAGACCTTCACCTGCACGATGCTTCACCACCCCCCACTGCCTCGAGTCAGCACCCAGGGATTTCCCAGGACAAAAGGGCTCTGATGGTCTAAATGGCGCTGGCGAAGACCCTCTTCTGAGAATTATACTGGCCAGGGCAGAGAAAGGGAGAGGGTGGGGGCTGGAGCTGTAAGACAAGACAGGGAGAGGGTCTGGCCAAGTTGGTGACCCCTCAGGGGCTCGTCCACCACCAAAGGAGAAGTCAGAGTTCCCCAGGGAACTTCCAGGCAGAACAGGGCAAAGAAACCTCCCCACATCCATGAACAACAAGATTGGGGTGCTGCCAGCTGAAGCAGCTGCCTGGGGGGATCAGTGGAGCAGATCTTGGGCTGGGGCCATGAGAATGCAACACAGGGATATTGGACCCCCCTAGGTCTAACGGCCCACCTACAGTGGAAGTGAGCACCCCAATAAAGGCAGTTCTGGGTTCCCACACACTCCCCTCCCCTTTCTTCCGGACACCCACCTCCTATGTGGCTTTATGTTCACACCCAAACCCAAACAGAACAGACACTCTGATTCCTCAGCTGGCAGAGGGCCAGCAGCATCATGCCTGTCCAGGGCAGGGCAGGTAAAGAGGTGTCCCAGCCCAGGTCATAGCCTGTATCCAAAAACTGGTCCACACTGACCCTCTGGCCTCTGCTCAGAAGGCCTCTGCAAGGGCCCCCACAGCTCCACAAGGGGTCAGCTGAGGCATGGCAGGTCTCTAGCTAAAGCCCCCCGACCCATGGGGGGAAAGTCCTGTGTCTGGCCGCAGTGATCGTCCATGACACCCTTATGCCCACCCCCACGGGCCCAGTCCAGCTCCCTTTCCTGTCCCAGCAGGTGGAGAAGGGAAATTAGGGAAGTTGACTTCGGTCATGCAAATTCAGTGTCACCTGTACAGGGAGCAAAGAGCAAGGCATAAAACAAATCAATTTTTTTAGTCACAGGTCAGGGTTGGGAAGGGAAGATTTCTTGGACCCAGTCAAGAGCACAATTTATATTTAAAAAAAAAAAAAAAGGAAACCTGGACATCAAGTAGGAACAGTGATGCCCAACCACCCCCACCCCCAAACCCTGGAGTTTGGCTGCTGCAGAAAAGTTGTTTCTCATGGAAAGATCATAGGTGCACCCTATTCTGAGTGCACCCCAAGAGCAACCCATGATTCCCCATGAAGTGGCTGCTGCGAAGCCAGTCGCCACCAGTGGCTGCCTCTGACCCTGACCCTGCAGAGATGTTAGGAAGCAAAACGATGCTCAGATCAAGGAAAGCACCAGGAACTGGGCCAGCTCCCAGCTGCCTCCTGTCGCCCGGGTCTCTGCTTTGCTCTGCAGCTCCTTTGTTTCCCTGCAGGAAATGTAGGCGGCAGGAAAGGCAGGGAAGCTGGCAGAACAGAAGGTAGTGCCCTCACCCTGGCACCTCGGTCAAAGTTCCTTTGGAAGAAATCCCTCAGGCCTCCAAGAGCCAGGGGAAAGGCAGGGTCCTGCCCGTGTTGACGGAGCAGAGGGCTCTGCCCACAGGAGGCAGGGTGGGAACAGGCAGGGAGAGCAGGTACAGAACAAGAAGTCAAGTCCAGAAACAGACATCCTCTCTGCCACAGGCTTGGGACCAGCTACCAGACCCATCTCTACAAAGGACTGGTGAGAATCTGTGCTCAACCTGAGACCCAGAGGGAAGCTTCCAGGTCCTGACAGAAGGAGACGCAGACTCAGAGCCCAATCAAAAAGCCAGGCCCAGTGCACATGCAGGGGGGCCCAGGAGGGCTCCAGGCATCCTCCCTGTGCCAACCCCAACCATGAGTCACCTCAAAGCGAACAGAAAGGAAACGCTCCTGGGAGGCACCCCCTCTGAGGTTGAAAGGGCCCAGTGTGTGCAAAATACTCCCACATGGGACTCATCCCGTCCCCACGGGTAGCCCAGGGTGGGAGGCCACACAGTGAAGGTGGATAAGAGAAGAGAAGGGAGGGGGGAAAGGCAGATGATGGGGCATCCCAGAGGAAGCCCATGGCCAATTTAAACACGGTGCTAAGGGGTCACCACTGCGTAGCTCTTCGTTCTATTTCAGACCATCCCTCCGGGCATGCCTGGAGAGCCCCAGGCAGGGCGAGCAAAACACAAAGGCACCTTCAGACACACAAACTCTAAATCCAAGGGGACAGCTGGGGAGATTAGTTAGTACACCAGACCAACAGCTCTTATGGCAGGATGGATGGCAAGAAAAACACCCAAAAATTTTTACATGGTCTGAAATGTGAGGCCAAAGTGGGACCAGGACTACAAAGTGCTTAGCACAGTGCCTGGCACACCGAGTGCTCAATAAACCGCCATCCTTATTGTTTTATGAAGAACTGGATCCTAAGCTACAAACGAAAAAAGTAGAGGAGAGACGTCACCCACGCCTACAAATAAAGGCACGCTGACGCAAAATTCAGCAGTGTTCTTTCATCCATCAGATGGACAAAGGTCAGAGTCTCGTGATTCAGGGTGCGGGGAGACAGGTGCTCTTCCCCCACAGGTAGAAAGAGAAAGCATGTCTGCCTCTAGCTGCCAAAATGCTACTCCAGAAAACATGTCATGCAGGTACTCCCCTCTATGACTGTATCCTGCTCACACCCCTTCACAAAAAGGAGACCCAAGGTGTCACAGTGGCGTCATTTATGGGGGTGATTAAGGACCAGGAAGAACTCCAAGTCCACTGAGGAAGAAATGGTTTCTCATCCATCAGGGAAGCACATGGCTTCCATCCAAGGTTTGTCCAACAATGTCAGGCATAGAGCCGTGTGTGCTGATGGGGACCCTCTCCCAGACGCACTACTAAGGGCACCCGCCAAGGACACTGAGTCACAAGCTGTCACATGAATCTCTTATGACTGAGGTGATGTAACTTGCTTCATGTGCCTGCGGTCCCGCTCCTGTTTACTACCTGTTCAGGACTCCAGGGGTGCGAAGCTGAGGCCTTAATGACCAGGTCCCAGTGACCATGGAGAGAAGTCACCTCTGCTGACAGACTGAGTTTTCCCATGGAATGAGGCTCCCCAGGGCTGAGATGGTGTCGCCTTCAACATGGGGCACCTGGCATGGGGGCCTGGCCCTCTGGGGGACAAACCTGACCTCAGAAGGATGTTGCCACACCCCAAAACAGGCACCAAGCCCCTTGGAAGGTTCAGAAAATAAAAACAGGCATGGGGCCTCCCCGGTGGCGCAGCGGTTGAGCGCTGGGTTGCGAAGCTGCCCGCAGCCTCTGCGGTGCCAGTTCGATCCCCGGCTGCTCCCCGGCCACCAGAGGAGGGTCCCACATGGTGCGCAGACCTCTCCTGCCGCCCACTGCTCCCCTCAGCAGTGTGCTTCGGTCCTTCTGCCTGTTCTGTTCCCCGCTCTGGTTCTAGTGAATTCTCTCACCCTCCCGCGCTTCTGACTGTACCCAGTGCATGTATAAATAAATAAATAAATCTTAAAAAAAAAAAAAAAAAAACAGGCATGTACAGTCATCCAGAAATGTGAAGCAATCTCACCTGTTTCTTCTGGTTTGATCCACGGAATAAATCTGCTTTCTCAGCCAACTGGGAAGAGAGTTGAGACATTGAGAGAGAGAGAGAGAGAGAGAGAGAGAGAGAAAATAGTGCAAGTTAAATGGCTTCTATGGCATGGGGACAAATAAAGCTGAAAAAGGAAGGGGAATAGGAAATAGGAAGTAGGAAGGATTTACCCGATTTCTAACTTGGGGAGCAGCTCCCCGCCATGTGGCGGAGATGACCACTGAGCCAAGAGGCCCCAGCATCCTTTACACAGATGATGGCTTCTGACAATATGTGTTAATCCCCAAAAATTGGGAAGAAAAGGGGGGGATATGAGGGTGCTGTGCTTGGTGTAACCAGAGGCTAAAATTCACAAACCAGCTCCCCCGGAACCGTGAGAGCCCTTCTCAATCCAGGAGGGAGGGATCTCCAAGTCCTCACCCCAACAAGCCCTTCAATGACCCTGCAGTGAGTCCACGGCCACCACAGGGCATCTACTTGCAATGGGCACTCAGCAGCCTCAAAGATGCAAAGTCCCATTTTACTTTCCCTCATACAAGTGGGCTGAGCCGGAGGATAAGTGAATGAGCAAGGAGACACAGAGAGAAACAGGCAAACACCAATACCTCTCAATGATGGTGGGCGTGGAAGCGCTCATTGCTTCCTGGTGTAAGATCTTCAAGCCGGAGAGCCACTTGGCTGCATCTTCTTTTGAGTCAGCTGCAAAGAGAATAGAAAAGCTGCATGCATCCCAGCCATGGGAGAGGCCTGTGCCAGTTTCTGGCTTTGCAGAAGGGCACCGAGGAGGCATCTCCATCACACTCCACACTGCCCAGGCCTGCTCTTTGCGCTGAAGCCACACACGCACATGCCATCTACAGCCAGGTGACCAGTGGGTGATTTTTTTATTTTTCTGAGTATTAGCTTTTAATCCTATGCTAATGATCAAGATGCAGGGCCTGGCATAGCTTGTACATACATTTCTAAGTATACGAATTCTGGGTCTGGACCTGAAGGCAGCGCTGAGCTTCTGTCCCTTATTAAAGAGCTTGAGCATTTCCCCAGCTCTTCTTTAAAGCTCACGGCGAGATGTGTGTGCATGTGTGTGTGATATAAAATTTCAGTTACTTGAGGTCATTCAAGTTGAATGCACAGTGTTTGTCAGGCTCTGTTGCATAACCAACGTTACCTGTCCTCAGCCCTCAGCATGAGCCCTACTAGACTCCTTACAAGATATCCCAACAATATGCATTAGTCTCCCCATTTCACAGCTGAGCAAACTGCAGCCCAGAGAGGTTAAGCAGCTTCCCCAAAGCCACACAGCTAGAAATAGGGAAGGTTAGGATTCAAAATCCTGATGTCCCAAACATGTTAGTGGGTAGACAGGGGAGAGCATTCTGGTACTAGAGAACCCCCTGGAGAGAAAACCAAGGCACTGGGAGAGAAAGAAGTATATGCTTGTCCACTCACCAGCTAAACTGAGGGTGCTGAGGACAAACTGGTTGCCATACAAGATGGTGAAGCAGCAGTCTTCCTTCTGGCGGACAACCTTTGCACGCTCAAAGTCCTTAGAGTTCTTCCCTGGGCGGATTTCCTTTATTTCCATGATATCCACTGAAAGAAAAATAACAGGAGCTGATGAGCTAACATTCACATGCCTGCACATCTTAGGATGGTCACATAACCTCAGGGGAACCCCAAGCCCACAGGAAACCACCTAAGCCAAGCCCAAAGAAGGCCATCAGACCCAAGGAGTCCACTCTCCCCTCAGGATGGCCAGCTGACCCCTCCCAGAGAATGACTTGGCACAAAGACACAGGCTGGACAAGCCCCCCCTCCTCCTCTTGTGAACACTGGGCCATTCCACATGCTTCAGATGAGGCCAATCCCCCCTCAACACCTCTCTCCACAACCGGCCAAAGAGGGGTCAGAGGGTACACAGACTGACCAAAGTGTCCACCCCAGCAGTGACAGTCAAATGGCCCAAGCTGGGCCTGTCAGCATCCTCCTGGGATAACCATAAAACTTTCCCCACTGCTGCCACCTGGCTAATAAAACATGGGCAAGCACTGCTTGAATCCCTGGGTCCAGTCAGCCTTGAAGTCACTTCTGCCCTAGAACACACTACTTCCATGCCCCAATAAATTCTCCTTTTGCTGAGGTTAGTATGAAATGAGTTTTGTCACTTGCAACAAAAAGGAACTTGGGGCCTCCCTGGTGGCACAGGGGGTTGAACACAGCACTGCAAAGCTGTCCGTGGCCGGCTGGGGAGCAACCCACATGGAGCAACAGACCTCTCCTGCCTCACCCGCTGCTCCCCTCAACAGTGTATTTCAGTCAGTCTGCCTGTTCTGTTCCCCACTCTTTCTGGTGAATACTCTCACCCCCCGCACCTCTGGCCTGTACTCTGCTTCTTTTTTTTTAGATTTATTTATTTTTATACAAGAACTGGGCTACAGGCCAGATGCACGGGAGGGTGAGAAGAGTCACCAGAGAGAGTGGGGAGCAGAACAGGCAGACTGACTGAAATACAATGCTGAGGGGAGCAGCGGGTGAGACAGGAGAGGTCTGCCATGCCATGTGGGTAGCTCCACGCAGGCCAGGATTGAACCCAGACTGCAGAGGCTGCAGACAGTTTCACAGCGCTGTGCTCAATCGCCTGCACCACCAGGGAGGCCAAGTACCCCACTTTTTAAAAAAAAAAAAAAAAAGGCGACCTGGTATGTGCATCTCAGGACTTGCACTGAACTAAGAAACAAGCAGAAAGTTGTCCCTGGAAGTAAGAGGGCAGGGAGGGGGGCCTCTGTCTTGGCCAGGGTTCAGGAAGCAGAAGACCCAGGCCTGCAAAGAGCACAAAGCTCTGTGGAGTCAGGGCCTAAATGGCAGGGAAGGCTGGCAGCCTTCAGAGGTGACATGGGCAGGCAGGCAGAGGGGCGGAGCTGAGATTAGGGGGTGTCTAACTAGACTGGAAACAGCCTGGGGGACAACAGCATGAAGCAATGTGCAGAGACTTGAAATGAACAGCGCTTGTCCTGCACCCCATGCGTGGTGGCGGGTACACACACCTATACAAGTGATCAAGCTCCATGGAAATATCACGCCAGAAACGGAGAACATGGAAAATATGGTGAAACTCAAAGTCTGGCGTCTATTTAATCCTATTGTGCCAGGGTGGGTGACTGGTTATGAGAGAAGTCAGCACCAGGCGAAGCCAAGTGAATGGTAACAGAAACACCGTAAGATTTTTGCCACGGTCCTGTGCTTCAAAATGGTTTTTAAAATGCTCATCAGTTATGGGTAGTCTCTTGTTAGAGGGATAATGTCACTAATTTGGGGGTGGGTGGGGTTCAGAGGGTTGGGAGGCCATATCCCCATTCTTCACCCAACCCAGAAAACCTACTCTCTTTATCTTTACTCCTCAAAGGCAAACAACAAAGCACAGACACTTCCTTTGTGTGGGCTGGAATTCACAGCCTCCCAGGAGGAAATTAACTTTGCTGATAAGGGCTTTGGCTGTTAGGCTGAATTAAGGGGATTAATATCTGTTCTCAAAATTTAGTAACCCGGCCAGTTGACTGCCAGTTAAGATGTTTAGGGACTGGATGCCAATTTTTTCCTATCTAGATGTATAATGATTAGCTAACTGTTCTCTTTCCCTCATAGAAATATTTATGAGAATCTGTGCATGGACTTAATGTAAGGTTTTTTCCTTACAGGAACACAATAAAAATTTGTCACATGGACATAAGAAAAAATTTTCAGATAATGACACAATCACCAAGTCTGATCAATTCTATCTTCTGGACTCCCCCAGAATCTGTGAACTTCTATCCATTCCCACAATCAACACTATAATCCTAGTCACCATTACCACCCGCTTGGTCTACTAAAGTATCTCCTGCTTAGTCTACTACAGTAGCCACAGGTGACCCCAGAGGTATCTTCATGAAATGCAGATGGGTTCACATCACCCCTGAGCTTCAAACCTTCCCACCTACAGTACTAAGAACCAAGGCCTGGCGCCCACCCTGCCAGCCCTACCCAAATGTGTGTCTTGCTCTGCACGCCCCAGGAACACCAGCCAAATCTCAGAATCTCCATGGGTCACACGCAGTCTGACCACAGGACATTAGCACATGTGGTCGGCTCTGCTAGGAATGCTCTTCGCCTGGGTAGCTGAGCCTGCCCCAGGCTCAGCTCAATCACCATCACACTCACAGAAAACTCTTCAGGCCCTCTGTTGCACAGACTCCTCACATACCTCCACAGCACGAAACAGAGACATAGCTCTCTCCCTCACACCTTCCTCACCACTGCATCCCCACCCCTGGCCAAGCGGTGATACACCGTGGAGCCCAATAAATAGTTGTTGTGAGAGGGAGGGAACACACGCAACTGGACATGGGACAGAGGACAACACCACACCCACAGATAGGAACTCAGCCTGTTTGGGTGCCTCCACTCATAAGAAAAGGGGAAAGACAGCAGACATGGAGGGAGAGAGAGATGCAAACACGAGCACATGTGAGAAAAGGACAGGAGACTGAGCAGATCAACTACCACACCGAGGACGCAAGCAGCTCTGACCAGTCACGCCCATCTTCCACTTCAAGGCAGGCAGTATCCGCCGAAGCCAGCCCTGCCTGAGCAGAGGGCTGCAGGCACCCACCCACCTACATCAGCCACAAAGGGTCACCTCCATGACATCACCCTGACCACTTCCCTCTCCCTGGCAAGCAATGGCCTATTTGTCATACTTATGAAAAGCTCAGCTTTCTTCATAGAAGAGCCTATGTTTCACTGCTGATGAATTTGTGTGGGTATGTTTCTGAGCTCCCTGTCCTGTTCCACGAATCTAATTATTGTCTGATTTTTCAACCAATATCTCGTTGTCATGATAACTAAGTCTCTATAGGATGTGTGGAAGTGGGCGAGCCATCTGACTTTATTCTTCTTCAATATTGTGTTGGCTACCTTGGGGTCTTTTGCCTCGCCCTATAAACTTCAGAATCAGTTTGTCAATATCCACAGAATAACGAGCTGGGACGATGATAGGGCCTGAGTTGAATCTAAAGAGAAAGCTGGGAAGAACTGACATACTGAGGGTCTTATCCATGAACACAGACATCATACTTTTAAGCATTAGTCAGACATTATGCTAGATATATTTGGTCTTAGCCCTCGTGGGTCTTATAGACATGGGGATAAAAAGGTTCGAACAATCACCCAAAACTCTTACAGAACAGATGCCATATGCCAGGTGCAACGCTCTGCACATTGTTATAAGTCAGGTTCCTGGAAGTCAAGCCCTCGTGAGGCAGGAATTCTTGTTGAGTTATTTTATTTGGGGAGGGCAGAGGAGAGGATTGTTCTAAGGGGAATGGAACATGGGAGCAAGATGGGGCAGGAGAAGGAAGCTGAGATGAGGTCTCCAAAGGGATGGGGTTCTTCTGGTCACATGTGGGCTGTGGACCATGGATCCCATCAGAGAAGTGGGTGTCCTTGGAGGCAGGGAGGCTGGTCTCTGGTTACTGCCTTGGGAGATTTCATACCCTCAGGAGTATCTGAGATCCGCTGGTGGTTTCACCTGTATGTCTCTGTCTCTGTGTGTCTCTGTCTGTGTCTGTCTGTCTGTCTGCCTCTCTCGATATAGCAGTTTTAGTAAGCTGCAATTCACATACCAGACAATCCATCCATTTCAAATGTGAACAACTCTTTTCCATTCTCTAGGTATCTCCTAAGAGGCCTGACCACACCCTCAGGGCTATAGGCACAATGGCCAATGTCCCCTGCATACTAGGGGCTGCCTGGCCACCAACCCAGAGCCAAGGAGGGGGCTGGTATGTGGTTAAAGTTCCCTGCTGTGCACTGGGGCCTCCGAGGGAAGAAGACAGTGGCAGCGCCACCGCCAAGCCCTTTGCAAAAGCCACTATGCTTCTCAGGCCTTCTGGGCAAGCAAGCAGCAGGGGGTCATTCACCCCTTGTCCACCCCCTCCACTACCAGGAGCCCCAAGAGGACAGGAAGGAAATCCCTTGCCAGTCCTGTGGTTACCTATTTGATCATCAGCAGAGACTGAAGGCCCATTGGGCATCTCTGGCTATGTGCCCACACCTGCTCTTGCATCACACAGGATGGACCCATACCCAGGGTGGGATCAACAAGGGAGCAAGGTCTGTGGCATCAATGATGTTCATCCCAAACTACCTCCTGGCCTGGGACTGGGGTTGCACAGACAAGAACCCAGGCCCTCCTGAGTCCTAAGTCTAGCTGCCCAGGTTCAAATCCTAGCTTGGAGGAGGTGACTTCGACAGTCACTTCACCTCCCCATGCACATTTTCACGTGGTGTTCTCATGAGGACTAGGTGTGTGAGTATGTATGCGCATGTGTGCACACACCTGATGTATGTCACTTAAAATAGAGCCTGGTAATTTTAACTAACAAAGATGTAGTAACTTCTAAATACTTGTTAGCTTTTTTTTAATTATGAATGCAACTGAATAAAGCGAGATGCATATAAAACTTAACAAAAACAGTGTCTCCATATGTCTGCCCTGAAAATTAAAGAGACAGATCCTTATGTACTGACATGGGAAAAACTCAACAACAGCTTAT